TTTGTTTACCTTTTTATTTCACCTTTTGGCTATTTGTATCCCATTTCTTATTTATTTCCCACTGTTATGCAAATCTATGTATGTTAATTTAATTATGTTAACTGTATGCTGATTTTATGTTTCTTTTATATGCCACTGATTTCATTCTTTTATATGCCACTGATTTTATTCCGTTTCGTCTTTGTTCCTGTTGTTTTGTAGTGAGGGACTACATTTCCCAGCGGTCCTTGCGGCTAAAGTCACGTGACCCGCGGGTATCATTGCTGTATGACGCCGCGGGCCACGTGACGGACCCGCCCTTCTGCCTCTCAGTCCGTGCGTGCCGTTCTCTCTGCCTCTGGCCGCACGGACTGTGTGTATATACACAAATCGGCGGTCACGTGACCCGGCACTACATGTCCCATGGTGCATTGCGGGTCACGTGACACGCACGAAAATGCACATTTCATTTAACCCTTCTTTTTATATAAATCAATGCTCGTTTTTGATTTACTTTTACATACTTACCATCTTATGTTTATATACACTCATATTTTATACCAATTTTTATCTTTTGTATGTAAACTCTTTATTTACATTTTGGACTATTCTCATTGGTTGATCATTTTTTTGGCGCCAATTTTAAATGTTTGTATTAGCTATAAATACTCTTTATTTGCCAGGTACTTATACTACTCCAATTTGATAAAGCCTCTATGGCGAAACGCGTTATTGGTTTTTAATATATTGTACTAATAAATAATTTTACATTTATTATTACTTCTACTTCATTTACTGTTCCTGGCATATCCTAAGGTGGGGATTATACCACCCAAGCGACAAACAGAGTGCAGATTGACTTGCACTCTACTTGTGAGTATATTTTATTTATTTTTATTCCTTTTATCAACTACCTCACCAGAGAGCACTATTGGCTGTTTTTATTTTCTTTCCCTGAGAATTGGACACCAGGACTCTCCAGGAGGACAAGCACCCCTATAAGCGGAGGGTTATCCGCCGTATGCCCACCATACTAGAGCTAGTCCTAGCTCATGGAAATGTGAGTGTGTAATTTATATTTTAATTTTATCTACTTATTTATACACTCTGCACTATTGGCTCTCTCTCATTGTGTCTTTCATATCGTGAGACGGACGACTACCACCATAAAAAGGAAGACATCATATCAGTTAAAGACACCATCTACTATTGGGACTTCTTTTATTTGAGTACATTCCTATCCAACATTCTATTATTTTACTTGGACTAGTTTTAATCACTTTGGCGCAGCCTTGTTCTTTGCTCTTGTATATATCCTTACTGTAGAGGGTCAGAGGGTGACCCCCTATAAGGCCGCTGCCTTTTATCCTATATTTTTATTATTAGCGCTAACCTTTTTATCCTTTTTCTGTAACGGTATCAAAACTGCTTTCCCAGGTTTTTTGCCAAGAGCATGTCCACCTAGAATGAGGGAGATGGTGGCATGATACTAAAGACTTACCACTGTTTGAAACCTAAAGCTCTGACAGTATGCTGTAAAGTGTTATCAGATTACAATTCAGACCAATACCTTCCTTATATGGCTCAGCAGAAGTGAGATGAGGGGCCTGTCTTTTCTGCCTTCCAAATGCAACCAAGTAACTAATGCTTTAAAAGGAATTACCAGATGTTACTCCCATCTTGAGACACACTGTAATATAATGTATTCATGGTATCTCACACCAGCAAGACTAAAGACAATTTAGAAAACATGTTCAGACTGGTGTTAATGAAGGACTGAACATGGAACCATGACTCACATATGCTGGATTCCTTTTCATATACAAAATCTAACTTATTGGACAAGGCAAGCCTCACTTATTCTTATGAAGTCATGTCGGCACTCAATTATTCCCAGAATATGTCTATTATTCGAATTTGTGATGCCTGGTGTTGGCTGACCAATGCAGGGTAGTAATTTAAATGCTGCCCAGTAACTTACTCTTTCAATTTTGATTGGACGTTGATAGTATATACCTCGTTTTTATTGCCCATGATGTTTTTTTTATTTGTCCTTTTCCTTACGTCTATCCACTGCGTGGGATGAATGATTTGAGTACATTGCCTGGAATGTATTCTACTTTGCTACCTTATTTCGATAATGAAATTCCATAAGCATGTTTTGTGTTTCTATTGTATGCTCAGAAAACTCAATAAGCTACAATTAAGAGGTTTATCTAATAAATAGTAATTTCAAATATAAATTACAAAATTTTAGACAAAGTATTTAACAGAACACTCCACTGAAAATGTTAGTATTTCTTTCACAATTCAGTAGACCTATCCCTAAAGAAAACATGCTCACATTTTTTATGTATGTTTTCCTTATAGGTATTTGAAAAAACAGCTTGCAAAAGTTGGAGACCTGCTCTCTACCCCAAAATACACATATATAAAAACAATCACTGATAGATGCATACAGACAGAAACATAAACTCACATTCACATAAACAAGTATATATATATATTTATATACTCACTGATGCATGCGTACTAGGAAATACTTACTGACATAGATCCTTACAGATACACTTCTAAAAGCAGAGGAAAAGGTACAGACACGCTCATACAGAAACACACTCACGGTCATAAATGCAGACACACTCACATACGCCTATACAAGCATACACACAGAGTCATACATGCTGTCACAACCTCGACTAAGGGGAAGGGGCCTGACAGCCAAGATGGCTGGACGAGTGGACGTGTCCCACTGTAGCTCTGGATCCAACAAGCTATTATTAAGCCTTTCAACTCACTATTTTGGCTACTAGTGGCCTCAAAATATTGGAGATCTGATATTACCAGCTGGTGCACTGTCTTCTGTTTGAAATGGAACATATACCCGAGTGGTGAACCCATCCAACTCTGAAGCCTGTTGGGTCTACTGTGCCGGTAAAGCAGAGAGACGGCCGATCTCCCAACGCTAATCATGTACCTTGCAGCCACCTCTCAGAGCCTCATTACCCCCCCCCCTATGGACAGGTAGGGGGTATCCTGGTCTCCACTAGGGCAGACAGCTGAGATTTTCTTGTCAGCTACTTCAACTACCACGTGGCGCAACCAAGATGGCCGCTGCATCTCTTCCTTAGCCCAGCCCTTGTTACCCCAGAATGGGGTGAGTGGTTCAATGCCAGATTCCACGCTATATGCCAGGAGTTCTGGCACAATATCAGCATCAGACACAAGGTACTCACCCCGCAGCTACTCCACTGCTCACAACAGTTGACTATGCTACCCATTCCTCTTCTGGGCTGGGGCCCACCTAGAGTAGCACTCGGGCAGCTGTCCATACACCCATGGGGAGATCGAATCCATGAGACTCTGCCACCTGGAGATGGAAGGTCTATAGACTTGGGGCTCTAGCCCCAAACAGGACCTGGAGCTGCGGAGACGGAAAGCCCTACCTTCCACGGCATGATATTTAGCAGCACCTTCACAGTCCTGCGATGGCAGATAGGAATGCCGATTCTTAAAAGGAACTGTACCCATGGCTGTGGCCCGTTTGCGGCATTGGGTGACCGAGCTAGGGAGCTTCTTGCCATACTAAGGGATTTCAGTGTCTTCAACTCTTATCTTCCTCATGTTATTCTCTTTTTATGTTGCTTAATTACACCCACTGGTACTAAGCTATCTGATTTCTCCTATTTAAGTTAGAGCAGCTGAATTTGTTATCTGTGCCTCAGCTTTACCCTCCTTCATTTATAGTTTTGCAAGCCTAGCACAGTGTAACTCATGTCATATCTTATGTTCTCATATGAAATCAGCATGTTATTTCTTTTCACTACACAGCCTGACTTTATACTATTAAAATGAGAATTCGGTAGGCGTGTACATCCTGCATTACACTATCTCTGACATACTCATGTACCGATCCAAGCTAAGCTATTGTATACTATTGTATATTGTATATGTGACAGCTTGTTATATCTCCTTAATATATGTCATGTATCTCCTCAATGCCTCAAAGAAATTAGACTGACAAAAAAAAAACCTCAAATAAGAAACACACTCAAGGAAATATACAGAAATACACTCAACATTACACGTAAACAGGCACACACTTAAGGAACACATATAGATGCACATTTTTAAATGTACACATACACACAGACATACACAAAGATACAAAATCACACACAAACACAGGTAAACATTAAAGTCACACTTACAGTCACACATGTTGACACACGCAGTCACGTTTTCACAAACAGGTACTAAAATATCTAAAGTATTTTTTGCTATCAAGTAAAGCTGGTGGCAGCAAATGATACTGGCTGAATGTATTCCATTAACACCAGAGAAAGCGTCTTTGCGCCACGCTAGGCATTGCTTATATTTATAACATTACAGGAAGCCCTGTCATATTCCTCTCAGCTTAACATAGTTGTCATTTACTTGAAACTTGGGATCAGGAGATATTGTTTAATAAGAAAACACATTCATGGACCATTAATTCACTTTAAAAATATATTATCTTGTAAAGGACACAACAATGAAAATGTCTAGAATGTTTCGGTACTTAAGGGGTGGGGGATGGCTTAGATAGTGTGGTTATTTTAGACGATCAAAATAGATAGAAAGGAGACAAAACTTTGTGTCAAGTATTTTGTACAAACTGTGTCCTCATTAAAGCAAAGTCTCTCAGCCTCTCTGCCTTTGAAACATATTTCACACTTCTATCATTCTTTATCATAGCAAGAGACCTTAGCCTGCCTGTAGTGTATATATCTATGAATAGGTGGAAGGGCATTCTTTTAAATTATTATCCGAAGGACAATCTCCCAATGTGCTAGAGTGTCCCATAGAACATAGATGGCTTATCAAACCATATCGCTTATCCAGACGGACATTTTCCTATACTGCTAAAAATCACATACTTACCTCTTATTAAGGATATAACTATACATAAGGCATGGCTGACACAAAAAATTTTTTGAAATATTAAAGTTTATTAAACATGCTTTAAAAAGGTTTTAGTCAGGACATTATGTAAAAATAACATACAAAATATAAACCTAAACAATTTCTTATGTATAATAATAAATTCTCAATGAATCTTTAGTTTCTTGTATTATACAGTATTGCTAGAACACTAGTGAATAATATGTGAGTTAAAAAGTGTGAGTCCTAAAATGATCAGTAGATGTAAATATTTGAAGACATAGACAAACAGTCAGACCAAAATCTTGCAATGCAGTGATACTCAGAGATGCATTGAGACCTCAGAAGAAATTATGTTTTTGCACCCTACGCAGGAGCTACTGTTGTGCTCTTATTAATGTGAGAAGAGTAAGCAAGTGGGATGTGAGTTAATATGTATTGCTAATTATTGAATGACTTGTATATATGCCTTAGACTGATGGGAGTGGCTGTGTTAATGTATTGAGGTGAGAGAAAGTACATGTGTGTGTTTGTGCATTTGTGATAATGACTGTGATAGTATCAGATTGTTCAGGGAGAGCAACCATTATTAAAATGTTGCATGAAAAAGGGCGTTAATTAATATATTTTATGAATTAGTATGGCAGACCACAGTAAAGGATCTTCTCTATCCTGTACCCGGTCTGACTGGGAGCTGTGACTGAAGAAAGCAGGGATATGACACTCACTGCACACTTGCACGCTGGGAGAAACTCCTGTCCAACCAGATAAACTGAAATCTTGTACCAGGGTCCTCAAGGCCTTGCTACAATAGGAGGGTAAGAGATGTAGAATAGGGAAGAGTAAAAAACACATAGGGAAGGAGTAAAATATAGAAGAGTGGGCTAAGAGACACAGGAGAGGCAGAATGAGAGATAACAAACACAAAAGAGGGGCAAAAGTTAGGAAACACAAGAGGAGAGGAGTACACGAAAGTGGGAAGACAGTAAATTTGGTAAGATACACAATAGGAAGTAAAAAAAACACAAAAAAGGCAAAGGGGTTTATTATATTGTATAAGATACAAAAAATGTCACAGGAAGAGTAAAAGACACCAGAGGTTTATAAGACACACAAAAGGGGCAAAATTAATAGGTAAGGTTGCAATAGTATTTTACCGGCATAGCCGATATTTGATGCAGTCTGGTCTGTGCCAGAATTGCAAAAATACCAGCAATGTAATGGCCGGTATTTTTCTTCGAATTGACTCTGGGAGAATGGTAAGAGAAATGAAGCTAGAATATCCACCTCTATTATATATGGCATGTATATACACTGATATATACACACAATTACACCCCCACACACAGACACACACTCACAGTTTACAGACACTGACACACACTAAGACACAGTATACACACATTGCTACACACAGAGTAAGACATAAAATACACATTGTAAGTATTTTATTAGTGATTTTGGGCATTTTTACCTTCTTTTGTACCTCCCTGAGATGTTATGTAATATCAGGCGACTTTGTGTCCTGTAATGTCACTCATATATAATTAAGCAAATCAGTGTCTATTATGCTTGATGTACCATTCATGCATGACCTTGCTTAATTTTGCTGTACTTAATAAAACACATTTTATAACTAAAATTTAGCAAATCATCATGGCCGGTATGCTTTTATAAAAAAGGTGGTATCCCTAGGAATAGGGAAAGTAAAATACACAAAGTGGTTAGGATGGTTAAATGTCACAAACTAGTAAAGGAAGGTTAAGAGACATGCAAGGGAATAAGAGAGGATTAGGATAGACACAAGATTAAGAAATATACACAAGTGAAGAGATGTGCTCAACAACATGTCAAAAAAACTACAACTGCAAGGGGGGGGGGGGGAGTTGTCAGGGGTGCCAACATACAGCTTAACACTGGGTACCAAGCAACATAGGTAGGCCTCTGTAGTCAGTTTTGACTTCTAATAGTATTGTGGTACGCCAAGGGTGTGTAGTGTATAGTCAGGTGGCTTGTATAACTGAAATTCAGTACTACATGTAACCTATGTTCATCATTTTATTACTTATAACTAGCACATTTTAATGCCTGGAGACAAAATATAGGAAACTATTTATTTACATGCATAGTCACAGTGTTATATCTTTGATAGTATCACACACATACACACACATATATATATATATATATATATATATATATATATATATATATATATGGTGTAATAGAGAGACTTGATACAAAAATATAGTAAAAAATTTACCTACACCATAACACATACAATGATCAATCTGCAGTGCCTTCTATTATAGATTAGAAAAGATAACTAGATAAAAGAAGAGACAGACAGACAGATATATACTCCTTTTGTGTGACAAAATTATCCAGTTGATGGCATATGAACACACATGTTGATAACAAACGTGAAGTAACACATGTGACTATAAGTTGTTTGCATGCCGAGTGCACGTACACAGACATATAATTTATGAAGAAACCATGTACCTAGACTGGTATGCATGTGTCCTAATAAATAATGTATGTTTTTTAATTTTGTATTTCACAGAGGATTTATTTGTTACCATCTATCATAGGCTGCATGAATAGGCCAGTTGTCCCTAAAACACAAAGGATTATGAACACCCAAAGAAAAACTCTGTCAATCACCATAGCCACATATTTCCAGTCATCTTCTTCCTATGTAAATAAAAGAAAATAAATGTTATTTAATATCAGAGCATTAATCAGAGATTTTAGTACATGAATTTGATATAGACCATGACTAAGTAATGGAAAGATACAAAATTAATACAGTCTCTCTCGAAGCATTATAACCACCACCGATTACGGTTTATGGTGCTATACCCATTCAGCTTGGAACGCTATGAGGAGATTTCACTTCAATGCTAGAGGCACAGGATGAATTGGCTGCAATCACAACAGTTACAGTCCATGCTAAAATTGTGGTGATTTTATGAAAAAGAATTGTCCTATACTTCATACTATCTCAATAGTGGAGTAATTTCAGTGGGATGTTTCTGTTAATTACCCCAACATTTACACTATTGCTCTAGATTTGTTCTTTTGCTATAAGGCCATTTTCATAACGTGGACAACCTCCATGCATGTTAAAGCTTAAGGTAACTTAACTTGCACCAGAAGAATGAAAGGGGTTTTATAGTTTAAAAAAAAAAAAACCTGCAGGGTTATTCACTAAAGTCTGGATGCATACAGGGCTATTTGGAGTGTAAAATTCACACTATATCTAGATTTTGCAATTCAGGCAACAAATGGTCCTGAATTATGTCCGGATTTCAACTGAACCAAACGTTAACTTGAAATTCGTACGGTTTAAATCCAGTCCAGGATTTAAAAAAAATCTGAACTATTTGCCCACTGGCAGAACGAGCAGCCAGAAGTCAAATAGGTTAGAACCCTCGGTGGTTGAATGTAAAACCTCAATGGTTGAAGATTAAAAATAATAATTCATAATGGGGTCAAAAGACCCCCTTATTTCTGTAAGGGAGGTGGTGGCATACATGCTAAACTTTAAAAACTAGTGACCAGGCACCCATTGCTTCCCAGTTACTAGAAAGATCCTGTTCTATGGGGATGGGGCATGTAAAATAGCAGAGGAGAACATAGCCCCCTCCATTTCTCCACTCATGGGCATCAGGTTGGGTACTTTCAATAATGATCTCTGTCCACAACTGTGGCCTTTGGGTGGAGGCTATTTAATTATGAAAAGTAAAGGGGCATCCTAATGTTCCCCCTGTTGGGGCTACTAATTTTATACAGGGGGATCCTAGTATTTGCCCTGCCCCTAACGATGGGCAGCAGGTAGGGGTTATTATAAAATAAGGGAGGACCTAATGTCCCTATCCCAAGAGCACCCATTGGCGGCGGGATATATATTACAGGAGGGATACCTAGTGTCCCACCCCCAAGATCACATCCATGGGCGGCATGTTAGGGCTCTAATATAAATGCGCGTGGAGGGATCTAATGTTCCAAGCTCCACCCACTGGCAGCGGTGGGGATTTCTAAATACAAAACAAGAGAGATACCTAGTGCCCCACCCTCAAACTCCCACCCATAGACGGTGGGTTTGGGTTCTATTAATAACACATGGGTGTGAGGTGGAGGCTGTAATAACATGCCATTGTCCGCCCCTCAAACTTGTGGTATTGTCCCCACCTCAGGTGGGTAGGGGTCCCCAGTCTGCTAACCATTCTCTATTAAAATGAAATAGGCCTACCTACCACCCTCACCCTCATAATTGTAAATGGGGGCTATAAAAAAACCAATACCTGTAAAATAAAAAATTATACTTGCGTGATATTTTCTTTTTTAAAGTTTTGTTCTGCAAGAGTATCAAAGGCTGTCTATTCTCTGCCAGTTGGTATGAAATGGAATGCATAGACACACTCAAACAGAGATATCTCTCACAAGCTCCTCACTTATCTCTCTAAGTAAAGCAATAGAGACAGAATTAATGACAGCATCCACCGAAAGTGGTTGCTGTCCTAGAATGCAACTCATCAACTTCACACAGCTGGGACATATTTTGAGAAATTAATATGTGTGTGTTCTACGTGTTCTACCTTACTGTTGAACAATAGTGCTTTAGTTACCTCTCTCCTTTCATTGTGGTCTTTGATATTTTCTGCCATGAACTTAACACTGCTAACAATCTCTTTCATTTCAGTTGACGACTCCTGAAAAGCATTACATATCCCATGTTGTTTCCTTCTTCGATTCCTAGTTATCTGGCCTTCTGAATTCATGTGATGGCAACATGTCTCCTCTTCAAACAGTTCTACATCCCTGCAATGTGAATTCATTAGTGTTGTTGCTTTCGTGCAATCTCTCTTTTTTGTTCGTTTCGAACAAGGCCTGTCTTTCTTCTGTATGGTCTTTCTCATCATTAAAAGTTTTGGTAGACGTTTCAAAAAGACATCCTTCACCCACAGAGGCATTTTGTGTGTAGTTGGAGTACGATAGTGAATGTTGAGCACAAATACAGTGACAACTATTGATAATGTCACAAATATCATTGTGAACAAAAGGTACTCTCCAACAAGTGGAATTACGAGGGATGTTGATGGAATTGTTTCTGTGATAACCAACAAAAACACGGTAAGGGAAAGGAGAACCGAGATACAAAGTGTGACCTTCTCCCCACAGTCTGATGGAAGGTAAAAAACTAATACTGTCAGAAATGATATAAAAAGGCATGGCATAATGAGATTTACAGTGTAAAACATTGGTAGTCTCCTGATATAAAAAGAGTATGTTATGTCAGTGTAGATCTCCTCGCAGCAGTTATACTTGATGTCATGTTTATAACCAGAAGCATCGATTATTTCCCACTCATTGTTCTCCCAGAAGTCCTTCATGTCCACTTTTGAGCCAATGATCACTAGATCGATTTTAGCTTTATCGTAGGACCAGGACCCAAATTTCAAGGAGCAGTTTTGGTGATCAAATGGAAAAAATGTGATATCCATTGGACAGGAACTCTTGAATATACCAGGTGGAGCCCACTGGATTAAGCCATTATATTTAAGCAAGGCCTTTGTCTTTCCTTCTACTTGAAAATCTCCAACAGCACTGCAAGGAATTATGAGTGTATTAAAAAAGTGCAACTGAATATTCAAATACATTATATATGACGATGAGTAAAACGATTACATACTTGTTATATAAGACAATGTCAGGCTTCCAAATCTTGTCTGCTGGCACTCTCATGAATTCTATCCCTTCAAAATCCATTGGATCCCATTGGAGTTTATAGTCATTCCATATCTACTTAAATCAAGAGAAACAATACAAACTCTTCCAAAACAACATAATTTAATGACTACTGCAGTAGACTCTGAGGATACCTCTGATTGCAACGGTTAGTGCTATCTTTCTACTACTGCGGTATACTTGGTTTCATTTAGCTTTGTTTCTGACTCACAAATATCCATATAAGTTTATCTACAAGTAGATGACTTGCTATATGTCAGGTTGTAGAAAGCTTTACTTTCAGCACTGGACAGTGCTGATTTCTTTTGCAGCCATATACGGAAAACAGTGGGAAGAGATTGATTCATGAAACAAATATCCATCCAAAGGCTGCAGGTAAATGTTAGTTTAGCTCAAGTTTGGAAGTTAGGTGAGCACGTCAAGAGTGTAATTGCTGTGGAAGGTTGGTTTAGACAGATAGAGAAGATCAACTCCGGAGCCAAACAGATCTCTTTAACCTTACTTTACATATACCTAAATTGAAGAATGAATTAATGATTCCTAAATTGAGGAATTAACTCCCTCACAACCAAAAAAATATTAGTATAACAGGTATTTGAAGTAACGAATGCATAGCTAGAATATAAAAATGCTAATGCTAGTATTGTGGCAATGCAGCCAAACTACTGACTAGTATGGGTAGATACAGACAATCGTGTGCTAGATTTATTCTTCTCTTTATTTTCTGTGATTTCAAAAATAAATGTAATTGTGTGATTGGAAATAAGTGTACTTTAGGATTTAGTAGAAAAAGCAAGAATAAGATGGATGCCTTTGACTGTTTCCAAAAATCCATTTTTGCAAAAGTTGGAAAACAAAAGCCATGGTGCAGAATTTAACACTTCACTGTCACTTCTAACTGTTGTGTGTTTCTTGCATTAGCAGTGTATCCTCTGTAGCTACAAATGCTACCTTACATACAAAATATATATATATTATTTAGAAGAACTTACATGCCGCAGCCACAAATTGGTTTCCAAGATTTGATTAACTTCATCCTTAAAGACAAAACAGATTAATGAAAATTAGTGATATAGCGTTTTCATTAAAATGTTTTAATACAAAATAATACATACCAATTAGCAGAGAAGATAGATAGATAGATAGATAGATAGATAGATAGAAGATAGATAGATAGAGAGATAGATAGAAGATAGATAGATAGAAGATAGATAGATAGAAGATAGATTGATAGATAGATAGATAGATAGATAGATAGATAGATAGATATTGGTTGATGTTTAACTACAGCTCACAATACCCAGTTGGCTAGCTGAGAAGTTGAATTGCTTTCCGTGAGCATCTAAAAAAAATACACTAATTGCTTATGTTTTCTAATTAGTTAATTTAACGATTATTAACACATCTTAATCTTACCACGTTGACTAGTTGTGTTATTGCCACCTCAAACTTCACCATAACAGGATCAGATACATTTCGTACCGGCCTTATGTACTGATTATAACGTGCAAATAATTTCTGGAAAAGCCTTTCTTCTATTTCACTTTGTGAAGAAACTGAAAAAAAAAATGAAATAATCACAATAATAGTATTTAGAGAAATGTATTTCTGTAAAATGGCATTTGCATATTATCATATCACAGAACACATCCCTCGGATGACAGCTGATCCTAGCTAAATGTGTACTTTATATCTAAGCGACTGTCGGACTGTACCACGCTAGGTAAAATCTATGTAAAGCTGAATCGCTGTCTGATTTAAGTATAGCTTATAAAACAAATTGTATGTTCCTATTGCTAAAGATTGCGAAAATAATAAAGTTTTAAATGTTCCAGCATACTTGCAGACAGATTATATGAGCGATTAAAGATACATACCCAACTGGAAACAAAACCCATTGTTAAATGCATAACATAGATAATGTATTACAAAACGCAAAAAATTGCGACGGAATCACTGCTCATTTACTGCATTTTTGTACAATTATCCAGATGATGTCATTGTGCTTTCTGCTAGTTAGTTCAATAAACAGATTTTACATCAACAATGCAAACAAAGTTAAACAAAGAATACACTTGGTTTGTAAAGTTCCTGCTACAGATTCTATTTTAAAGGCAAAAGAGAGTCTTTAACAGACCAGGAAGGGGAAAGGGCAAATCACTTCAGTTATAAACAGGAGGACAAGTACAAACGGCAGCAGCTGGATTTGGGGTGCTTACTACTCACAAATATGTCCTACAGACTGGTATTGTTGGCCAGTGAGTTGTGTGCTGGCCTATTCCAGTATATTAATGGAAAAGCCCTATATGCAAGGCAGTACATTTTCAGCCAGTGCTGAAAGGCCATCAAAGACCCTCGTGACATTAATATCCCCTCTGGAAAACAAGTGAGCATTACCCAAGTACTGGAATGTTAGTGTCCTTGGGAGTACCACTGTCATCTGATGTTGCCTATAGAATTTTGTTGCAGATCCACTGGTTACTGACTTCCTCCCCCTCCCACCCCCATCCCAACTCACCACCACCTCCTTTTATTGTTCACATAGAGTATGAATGGGGCCTATTAGAGTCCCTGGGCTCTAGGCAGTTGCCTATGGTCACTTTATGGTTAATCCTGCTCTGATTACAGATATGTTGTAACACCCATATGATGAGTGGTACTTCCTTTTTGTTGTCAAAGCAGTCTCAGTATTAAACCAATTGCTGTTCATAGTTTTTTTTTTTTGGGGGGGGGGGTTGCTTTTATGTCAATGCTTTTAGAACTTTATTTAATGAACATAGAAACAGGCTTAAAAAGCTTCTCTGTCTAATTCATATAAACTTGATGTGACAAGTGAAGCAGATGCTATGCATGGTACTGGTGACTGTAAGGGCTCTCTCCCTCAAGTCTTTGTTTAATGCATGACTTGCCCAGATTAAAATTTCATTGACTAGATTGCCTGCATCCGTTTAACTCGTGCACCACTTGAGGGCTTGCAATAGATTACTCTATGATGCCTTTCAAAATCCTCTGACTAAAAAACAAACAAAGAACAAAAGAGTTTATTTTTTACTAGATTACAACACACCACATCAAAAATTCGGTATTTATAATATTCCGGTGCATGCATGCATTTTAGCAACTATCTAGTTGTAATCACATTAGCATGTCTTTATAGTCTCATTGTGTATTGTTGTGAAAAACATTTTTTTTTAATTGCTACAAAGACTCGTAATGTTCATAGAATTCCGAATCTGCATCAATCATATTGCCAGTAAGTTAATTTTAATGTCACTTGTTCACGTTCTCAGAAATCATTCTACAAAATTGTTTAAAATTGCCCCGTTAACCCAAATTATACAATGCGGTTTACGAAAATAAATGTCATGTCTCATTGTACATCGCTACAGAATATGTTGGCACCTTATAAATAATCTTTATAATATTAATTTATTTTGTATAAACTATGTCAAGCAAAAGTCAGTGTTATTTCTATTAAAAATAAAAATGAAACTGACGCCATGAAAATCCCTCTCCATAATTTAAAAATAATTTTACAAAAACATGAAAATTAAAATGTAAAACGTCGGAACTTACCTTTTATTCCTGCTAGTACTGTTAACGCCAGATAATAAAATGATATTCCATAATTCATCAAATTAAATAAAAGCATGTTGTTGTTGTTGTTTTGTTAACAACAGGGAAAATATCAGGTAGGTGAAAGAAAAATAAACCAATTTTAAATAGATCTATTGGTTTTTTTTTTTTCTTCTTCCTTTTTTTCTGAAAAAAGCTCAGGTGACGATTTGAAAATGTGTCTAATTCCAGAAACAACCTCAGGTAGAAGGATGATTTGAAATGTGTATTCTGCTTTCATACAGTCTGCATGTATGGGTTCGTCCTGAGCAAGGAGCCACAAGAAAAAAGTAGCCGTTTGTGTAGGAAGAGAACAGTGCTCTAGGGGATAAACATAACAGTGAGTGTTCCGTGGTATAGAGAGAAAGGGATGGGATGATAGCTGACCCTGAAGGTATTTCTAAAGCATTGGGAAGGAGCTGTGTACTAATCCCTTAAACAGCAATGCTTACAGAACATGCCTTATCTAGCTAATGGATGCAAGGTGTGTGATGTAAGACATTTTCCCAGTATGCCTGGATAATTCTTACTGTAACTAAGACTATTTATGATAATTTGTAAAGAGCATTCGTGATCAGGACATGTTTCAAAATGATGAGATTTATGGAGGATTTATTCAACCACGTAAAAGACAAAATGACCTATTTCATAAATCCCCAAATCACAAAATGTTAGTACAAGCTGTCTTGATTACCAATCACAGCTAAGTGTGCCGGCGTGTGTTTTATGTACTGGGGCCTCTATTGTGCATTCAGTTTGGCCTTATAAAGATAGTGGTCATCTCATCATTAATGCACACGTTGTATAAATCATTGGGATTGTCATTCAAGTACCATGGATCTGCTCTCTCCTGACCTAGCTCTGGGTCCCAACAAAAATGCATTTTTGCCCAAATTTTATAACCACCACCAGGAGACAAAATGCACATGGGTAACTGCTTACAGGGGAAGTAAATCCATTGGTGCAGGCCAAGTCACCAAACCCTTATCTTAAAAAAAGCTATATGAAAAAACCACAATCCATGTACATTTTCCAGATATGTAGAAGATGGGGTTCACCCATTACAAGTAAAGCACCATCATAACAGACATGATTTCTAAACTGGTGAAAGAATTCAGTTCAGCCCAATCAATTTGTCTGAAAAACATTTTGTTCTGGAGGACTGGAATGATTAGGGAAAAAATATTTTGCAGTACAGGTACTCCTCACTTACCGGCCAGGTTCCGTTCTTACAACCCGGTCGAAGAAAGAATGTCAAGTAGGTTGGCAATTGCTCCCTCGCGCCTGTGGAGGTCCTGTGAGCCGGAATGTGACGTCACTGTGGGGCACGCAAGGGAGCTATATAGGAAGAGAGGATATAGAGCAGAGCTCCCTCGCTGGCCCCCCTGCGCCTGGTCCGGGCAGCTGAGCTACTGGTGCTCGGCAATGCTACAAGAAATAAACGGCAGGAGAGGAGCTCTGTGCACTTCCCTCCTGCCGGTCAACTGGATATTGGCGCGCCCAAAGGCAGCTGCCTGTGCTGCCTCATAGCGGCGCCGGCCCTGACTCCTCTCCTGGCCTACCAATAATGGAAAAGAGGCATAATTAATGGATGCAAATGTAAATAGCATCTGCTGCCTGTTAGTGTAAGTCTTTCTAATCTTGGACACATATATGTACATACTACGTATTACCTCTAGCAATTGATAAAACTGCAGGTTAACTCTGCCCCTCTTCTTCCAAGGTTTCTTGATATTCTATTACCGTTATTTTTTTTTACAAACAAGTGTGTTTAATGCCTTGGAATAAAGATTTGTGTAAAATTATCTGGTGTAAAGACAAGATGGCAAGACATGATAAATCACGATCTTCCTCATAAATGCTAAAAGTCCAAGATTAATATCCCAAGTCATTGTGTTCATAAATAAAGCGACTGATACCAAATATAGAAACACATTTTTTTCACCACCACAAACAGATAATCTCACTCTGGTGAAGGCTTCCATTAATGTATATGTCTAAGCAAAAGGCAACAATTGTTCTATTTAACATTTTCTTTTTAGCTTCAGATTGTCTAATTATAGATTAGATCTATATGTTCCCCATATCAATAATATCTAAAGGTCATTTTAATGTTACTGCAAGGACCCATCTTGATTGTAAGCTGCTTAAGTGACACACCAGGCACCAACACAAGAACAATTTATAACTTTCTATTCAGTTGGTATTTCCATTTTCATTTTTATTTACATATTTTCCTAAATAAAAAAATAATATCCTTAATGTTCCCACCCACTACTCTTTCAATGTCCAGCAATTCCTTTTTCTCCACAAAAATGCTGCTGTACACAGGGCCGGATTGACAATCGTGATGGGCCTAATTACAGAATCTTATCGACAGAAATAACTAAACCAGTCATACCTCCTAAGTGTCGTGTATCTGATGGAGGTGGTGCTGAAGGGAATCTCACAGGATGCAACTTTAAGAAAAGGTATACCCTATGCTAATCTGTTGCTTTCATCTCTCAACCAAATCCATATTCCCTAACAGCAGTGTCCAGTGAATCAAGTTGTCGGTTGGCGGGGTGAAAGGATGTACCACTGACACGAGTAACCTAACCGGCATTGCCCAAAGGGCTCAGCAAAGGGGAAATTGAAAGGTGCCTGGCATGAATGCATGTTAGACTGCCAGTCAATCATGCATGTCAGTCAACTAAGGACTATGCAGATAGCGCCCTGAGCATGGCATAAATCTAATGATGCAAGTGCCCGGGCTCCCACAACCACCACTTACACATCTATAGGGCTCTCTCCTCCCAGTGCCAGGGTTGCCACTAAAACTACTTACACATCTGTAGGGCTCCCTCCTCTCAGTGCCCGGACTGTAACCACAACCACTTAAACATCCATAGGGCTCCCGCCTCCCCGTGCCAGGACTGCCACCACAAGTTCCGAAGTGACAAACCGAATGCCATTGGTCCGAATTGCCGAAGCAGACGAATATTTTTACTTACCAAATTTTGTGCCCATGCACATCCCTACAGTTTTCTTTCAAGTAGCTCTACAAAAAAAATTAGATAACTGGTAGGCTCTCAATCACAATGCACTCTCTGACCCTTCCTGGTTTCTTTGATTCTAGGTACATTCTCAATGAGCATATGCATCATACCACTCCAGAATGCATAGATTAGTTCTTCCTGGTCCTAAAAGATCTCGAAACAGGTTCATCAGAAAGAATGGAGCTAGACACATATCGCTGGGGTTCTACCTAAATGTCAGGTTATCCCCTGACATCTGAATGAACACAGGTGACAAAACACAATCCATTTAATTAAACTCATGACCAACAACAACACTTAGGCTTATGTTAATTATCATCAGCCTTGTTTCTTTGTATAAAAGTGCCCCCCTTCTTTGCACCCCTTTACCCCCTGGAAGCTTTTATATATATATACATGCTTGATTGTTTACAACCCAAAGGGTTGATTCGCAAAATTGATCGTTTTGATGTTATGACTTATTTGAAAGGTTATGTGATTACTCATTCTATCTCTTTTTTGCTTTCTTTCTAGATTCAAAGGATATGTGAAGTGTTGCCCCTTTGGCTACCACAAGCTTTTTGGTCTATTATATATTGTTCTTTTTTCCATTTTTGTATTGGTATGTTTCTTAGTATCTTTTTATATACATTTTGAAACTTTTTTTTCATATATAATACTGGGAAAGGTATTAGCATAACCTGTGAGCATCTTACTTCTCATTACAGACATTTTTGTAATTTAAGAGTAGCTTTATTTTCCTTATTTTATTTTTCAGGGATTGTACAAATACCTACCATTTTCTCATCCCCCTTTATTTTCTCTTCCAATAATATTTTCTTAATTTTTGGTTGTATTTTTCCCTTGTTACATGTTTAGTATAATGTACCTAATGGGTTAAATTCCCCTCAGAGGTTTGTTCTATCAGGTAAGTAATTATGAGCTCCACTCTGGTTGAATAAAATCCTTCACTGAGACCATGGTGTTGCGGATACATAATTCTTTATTTTGTGTACTTTTGGTATTCACAGAAGGGGACCGTGGGAACTTTTACCCACTTACATGCCTGTTAGTGCTGTTCCCTCTTTACGTCTAATTTATATAATTAAAGATTGGCCATTTGCAACATCACTTTTTAAATAGTCCCCTTACATTACAGTTAATAAGGAAGAAATGTTTTTTGGGTCATTTGCTGGTTATTGAACTCCACTGACGAGTGCACACTGTAAGGAAAGGTGTGGATCTGTTTCTGGTAACTTTTCTAGATTTCTTTTTCTATTCAGGAGATATCCTGTTTTCTCATTTTCTTCTCCCTTTTTGGATTTTGTTCTTTGTCTTTGCATTTTCTGGTAGGATGTTAGAAACATGGAATTTCAATATCTGGACCCCCCTGCTCAACTAATGGTCAATAATGCTGCTGATATTCAGAGATTTAGAAGGTTCTTGTATAGGTGGATGCTATGTGTGAGGGGTCACCTCTGGGTTGGGTCATGCTAAATAGACTTATTATTGGGTTGCAAGTCAAATTACATGCTGCCAGTTATCAGGACGTCAGAGGCAGATTCATTGTACTCCCCCAATGGGAATGAGATGTTTTGTGGGACATTGAGTGAGGACCAGTGAAATCTCATATGTATTAGCCACTCCGAGAGACAGTGTCAGTGAGATGCCGAGGTGGAACCATACAACTACCTCAGTACAAACACTTTAAATAAGTGATCAGAGCAACACATACATTTTTTATTATTAGTGTATTTTTTATTGCATTATATTTAATTATGCAATAAACCATATCCCTTGTCAGTGTTCTATAATGATAAAATTAATCTAAAACATGCAATCCATTAAATCAGAGAAAAATAATCAACAGTGATTTATTTCATTGACATAGATGCTAATAATGCATATACAGTAAAGTTGTGTTTTTTAATCCCTGATTTGTGATTATTAATGATTCCCCCTGAATCCATTGTAGCACATGATATACGTTAATCTCTAAGGTCTTAGAAGGAAAATCTATTGGAGTTTGATTCGCCATGTGAAAAGATATTTTCTGAAGGGGTCAAAAAGGTCAAAGTGAATGCCAATGAATAATTGAACATGTCTCACCATTACTACTGTTTCATGAACCTTACATCAACCTGTTCCAGCATACAATATCTTGCAGCCAGGTTAAGAAGCGGCATTAGAAAGGGGGATTTCTGGGACTAACTAGGAACAGAACCACTAAAAACATTAAAAATAAATATCACTGGCCAAGTGTAAACACAACCCTTTACTAGTCTATTGCCTCAATTTAAATATTTGGATAAGCTTTTCCTATGATTTAAAATTTTTATATAAACTTTTAAAATGATTTCATATTTTGAAAAATATTTTAATAATTTGAAAACATTTTTAATATTCTGATTTTTTTATATATCAATATATTTTATAAACAATATATATTTTTTATATTTTAAGAAATATTTTAAAAGTTAATGTAAAAATATTAAATAATTTGGAAAGCTTATGCAAAAATATTAAACTGAGGCCCATGTGATGGGAGGGCTTATCTTAAAACATTATATTAAAATTACCAACCTAGAGGGAACATCAATTTATAGCGGGTAGTCACGACATTTCATGGCCTGACCTGGTAACTACACTAACTGTAAAGTTTGTTTTTTTATTTTATTCCCAATATTTCTGCAAAAAAAGATAATAAGATAAATAAAATAGGAAACATTTAAATTCGGTACATTTGAAGGGGAGCTATCATTTCTCTGGAATTTACACTGTTGAATAAACATTGAAAATAATTTATGACTGTTAACCTTTTTTTTCCATGAGATTCTCAGTTTTTTTAATATTTATATGAAAGATTAAGCACTTTACATCACAACACACTCCAGACAAGGCACAACCAGGGCACACAATGGAAATTAAGAAGAGAAATTGAAATATTGTTTAATTTATCATCTTCTCTGTATGCTTTCTCTATGAAGACAGCCAGGTGCAAAGGACAAAGCTTATAGTAATGACAGACAGGGAGCTAAGAAGATTTGATGAATTTCTATGTTTCATTTTATTTATTTATGCCTCACAATCACATATATGTTAAATGTAGGGTAACTAAACCTAATATTAAAAAACCATGGGAAGTGACAGTCCTTAAAAAAAACAAAAAAATTTTATACAATTTTATAAAATAATTAGCTATTTTTCCCTAATTTGATGTGCTTGCTAGATGCTACACTTGTTTTATTAGCTAAATTAATTGATAGTAATTGAGGTTAGTGGTCTACAGTTCATTGTGTTCAATAATTCTTTAGTGTACTATCATGTTTTGTTTTATTGTATCCCTTGCTTTCAATATCAAACTTTTGTCTGATGACATGAAGCAGTCGTCTAAGGCATAAATACACTCGAGTCTCCTATTTCAAGTCTTTCATCAAATTGTACTAGGATTTCTCATCAAGGTGCTTTTAGTAAATGTTCTGTTGTTTACTGAAAAACACATTGTATAGTGTTTAGCTTCCATGTATGCAGTGGGGTTGTCTGGTCTTGAGGTTCAACATGATTAATTATTGATTTTCTGTTAACAGAAAAGTATTTGGAACCTCACCTTATGATGTGGGTTATTACATGGTGCTGAACACATATAAAGATTATTTGCCATTAAAGCTGAAAGGTTTTTATTTTATCTTTTAAGTTGTAACAATGGTGAATAGGCTTAGTACAGGGGCTGTGGCCTCATTTGGGCAGTTTATTTCATATGTGTGAGCTGGGAGCTTTTATAACACTGTGTACACCGTAATTAACATTTGTATTAAAAAAAAATTATTAGAGACTCTGAGCACAATAATCACAACAGCTCAGTATAGCAAAGACTTTATATAAGTCATCTCCCATTTTTTGTCTTATTATGTGGGAGCATTTGGGAGTTACAAAAAAAAAAACAGAAATCTCCCCAGCACCTGTAGACTACCCCCTCTTTAGCCAGTTGATAATATGAATTAATGCTAAAGTATTTTCAAGTTGAACCCTAAATGTCCTAACCCCAAGTGCCGTAGCGCACCCCTAACCCTACACATCCCTGTAATCCTTAAATGGACACTGTAGGCGCCAAATCAACTTTAGCTTAATGAAGCAGTTTTGGTGTATAGATCATGCCTCTGCAGTCTGAGTTTTGGGCTATTTAGGAGTTAAATCACTTTTTTTGCAGCCCTACTCACACCTAACCTGGTTATAACGCAAACAGCCTGCATGAAAACAAAATGGTTTCATTTTCAATTAGAGGTTAACTTGCTTTATACATTTTCTTTATCTCCTGCTCTGTTAATTGAACTTTAATAACACACAGGATGCTCCTGCAGGATCAAGCAAGCTACAGTGCAAAATTAAACAGGGTTTGCAATAAAAGTAAGTGTAAACATTAGATGACTCGTTACAGGAAGTGTTAGGAAGGCTGTATAGGTCACATGCAAGGATGTGTGGCTAGAGCTGCATAGACAAAGTGATTTGACGCCTAAATGGCAGTGAATTGAGCAGTGAGGCTGCAGGGGCATGATCTATACACCAAAACTGCTTTATTAAGATACAGTTGACTTACACTGCAAGACATTGCTGAGCAGCGCTCCTCAGGCAGTGTATTTGAGGGTTCCACGAAGATCAGGGAATCGATCGCTACAGGAAACCATCCTGTTGTTCTAAAACTGGTCATTTGCAGAGACTGGCGACACTAAGCACATCACCTAAATGCAGTGGTGTATTTTGGATTTGTGCTGCCCTAGGCACAACTAAATTCGGGCACCCCCCAAATCTAGATTTGCCCACCCAACCCCCAATTCGTGTCAGGGTCGAATGTCCCCCTGTGTCTGAACATGGACATGCACTTAGCCCATGTGGACTCAGGACAAATATAATGTAGGCAATGTGATGAAGCTATCACTTTAAAATATGTATTTTATTTTAATAGTATTATTGCACTAATGATGCCAAAAAAATAGAGACATTTTAAAGCACATCTCCTGCTTTATTTGCAAGAATCCACTAAGCATCTTGACAAATAAGATACATGTTTATCATGTGGTTTTTGTCTCCCTGTAAAATTTCCAATCTCAATTTAATATGTTTTGGAAGTTTTACAGTCGTGACAGTGAATTTATATTATCTACAAGGCTTAATGCATAACAACTGGGGAGAAAGCGACTTTGAAAAATGAAATTATTGATAGAATTGTTAGCATTAAAATATTATGTATTCATGCGAGTGTTATGAAGCTGTTAATCATGATCCATATGTCCGATGCGTATCACTAGCTGGGATTTACAAGAGATTAGAAGCATAATTGAACCATTAGATAAACAGCACATTAATTCACCCGATCAAAAAGCAAGTTCAGACAAATCTCCAAGACAATGTGTATTGAGTCCTACAATTAAAATGTAGATCTCAAAGGGTATCAGAAACAACCATGCTGTAGATGATATTAAGATTAAAGATTAAATTGCATCTGGGAAAGATAAATTTATTTAACAGAGCATTTTGTTTCAAATTAATGAATAACTGCCTGGGAAAAATAGGACAGACATGGGGGTCGATACCTGCCTGAGAGACGGAACATGGGCAAAGAGTTGATAACTGCCTGGAAGGAGCATTGGCAAAGGGGTTGATACCTGCCTGGGAGACAGATATGGGCAGAGAGGTTGATACTTGCCCAGGAGACGGAGCATGGACAGAGGGGTCTATACCTGCCTGCGAGGCGGACGATGGACAGAGGAGCCGATACCTGCCTGGGAGACAGGGCACGGACAATGGGGTTAATATCTGCATTGAAGACGGAGCACAGGCAGAGAGGTTGATACTTGCCTGGGAGATGGAGCACAAACAGATGGGTCAATACATGCCTGGGAGACGGAGCACGGACAGAGGAGTCGATACCTGCCTGGGAGACAGGACACGGACAGTGGGGTTGATATCTCCCTAGGAGATGGAGCATGGGCAGAGGGGTCAATACCTGCCTGGGAGATGAAGCACAGGCAGAGGGGTCAATGCCTGTCTGGGAGACGTAGCACAGGTAAAGGGGTCAATACCGGCGTGGGAGAAGCAAGACTGGTAGATGGGTTGATACCTGTCTGAGAGGGCAAACCCATGGAGAGGCCAGCCTAGCTGGGGTAGCTGTAACTGCTGGCTTGTCTTGTCTCAGTAATGGTCTTCGCCGGTAGACCTACATTTCCGATATCGTTTTGCCACACCTGTGTATAAGCATAGTGTACATAGTTTTCAATGAATACTTATAAAGTTTGGAAGGTTCGGTTTATACATCTTGCTCAGAAAATTACAGGTGAAATGCACTGGCAGGTTTAGCATTCTGATGGAGTTTTTCTGGCGATTCATTGGAAAAGGCACGTTTTAACTGATGTACATACAATTTTGTAGTCTGTATCGATGGAGGGATACACGTGTAGCATGTATATTTTAATGCAGTTGTTGACTGTGGAAACCAGCCACTATTTCTTAGTACTTATCTGCTGGCTATTGGTATTAACAATGATTAAAGGCTGCCTTGTAATGACAAGCATAGAAATTAAACCTATTTTGGCAATTAATAATTAAAATCGTAATAAAAATAAGACAATATTGCTCTTCCGTCTGTTTGTCTGCTGTGTGGCAGACAGTCCGCTCGTCATTTTCCAGTCCCGTGAGAAGCATCCACCGATATCCGCCAAAATGGTGAACTTCACGGTAGACCAGATTCGCAACATCATGGACAAGAAGGCGAACATTCGCAATATGTCAGTCATTGCCCATGTGGACCATGGCAAGTCCACTCTGACCGACGGGTGAAACTCGCTTCACAGATACCCATAAAGATGAGCAGGAAAGATGTATTACAATCAAATTTCCCTCTTCTATGAACTATCTGAGAATGATTTGGCCTTTATTAAGCAAAGTAAAGATGGATCTGGTTTCCTTATCAACTTGATTGACTCTCCCGGCTACGTGGACTTTTCCTCTGAAGTTACAGCAGCTCTGCGTGTTACTGACTGTGCCCTTGTTGTGGTGGACTGCGTGTCTGGTGTATGTGTGCAGACTGAACTGAAACTGTACTCCGTCAAGCAATTGCTGAAAGAATCCGCCCTGTCTTGATGATGAACAAAATGGACCGTGCACTTTTGGAACTGCAACTAGAGCCAGAAGAGCTATATCAGACCTTCCAGCGTATTGTGGAGAACGTAAACGTTATCATATCCACCTATGGTGAGGGAGAGACAGGACCCATGGGAAACATCATGATTGATCCAGTTCTTGGTACTGTTGGCTTTGGTTCTGGACTCCATGGCTGGGCATTTACACTCAAACAATTTGCGGAGATGTATGTGCAAAAGTTTGCTGCAAAGGGTAACGGCAAGCTGACACCAGCTGAACATGCAAAAAAAGTGGAAGACATGATGAAGAAACTCTGGGGAGACAGGTATTTTGATCCTGCCAATGGAAAGTTTAGCAAGGCTGCATCAAATGCTGATGGAAAGAAGTTGCCTAGAACATTTTGCCAGCTTATCCTGGACCCAATCTTCACGGTTTTTGATGCCATCATGAACTTTAAGAAAGATGAAACTGCTAAACTTATCGAGAAACTGGACATAAAGTTGGACAGTGAAGACAAAGATAAAGAGGGAAAACAACTGTTAAAGGCTGTTATGAGACGCTGGCTTCCTGCTGGAGAAGCTCTTCTGCAAATGATAACCATCCACCTGCCATCACCAGTGACTGCTCAGAGGTACCGCTGTGAGCTGCTGTATGAAGGACCACCTGATGATGAAGCCGCTATGGGCATAAAAAACTGTGACCCCAAAGGTCCATTAATGATGTACATCTCAAAAATGGTGCCCACCACTGATAAGGGAAGGTTCTATGCTTTTGGAAGAGTCTTCTCTGGTGTTGTCTCCACTGGCCTCAAAGTCAGAATTATGGGACCAAATTATACTCCAGGAAAGAAAGAGGACCTTTACCTGAAGCCTATCCAGGGGACCATCCTGATGATGGGGCGTTATGTGGAGCCAATTGAAGACGTTCCATGTGGTAACATTGTGGGTTTGGTTGGTGTGGACCAGTTCCTGGTGAAAACTGCGACAATCAGCACTTTCGAACATTCACATAACATGCGTGTTATGAAGTTCAGTGTCAGCCCTGTAGTGCGTGTGGCTGTAGAAGCAAGGAACCCTGCTGATCTTCCAAAACTTGTGGAGGGTCTCAAGCGTCTGGCTAAGTCAGACCCTATGGTGCAGTGCCTCATTGAGGAATCTGGAGAACATATTGTTGCTGGAGCTGGAGAGCTGCATTTGGAAATCTGCTTGAAGGATCTAGAGGAGGACCATGCCTGCATTCCAATTAAGAAATCTGACCTGGTTGTTTCCTACCGTGAAACTGTGAGTGAGGAGTCAAACCAGCTGTGCCTGTCAAAGTCTCCTAACAAGCATAACCGTCTGTATATGAAAGCCCGTCCAAGGCCCGTCAAACCAGCTGTGCCCATTACTTGGCAGAGAAATATGAGTGGGATGTTACAGAGGCTAGGAAGATCTGGTGTTTTGGCCCTGACGGTACTGGACCAAACATCCTGACTGATGTGACAAAAGGAGTACAATATCTTAATGAAATAAAAGACAGTGTTGTGGCTGGCTTCCAGTGGGCCACAAAAGAGGGTGTGCTCTGTGAATAGAACTTGAGAGCTGTCCGATTTGATGTTCATGATGTGACTCTTCATGCTAATGCCATTCATAGAGGTGGGGGACAAATCATTCCTACAGCCCGTCGTTGCCTATATGCATGTGTGTTGACAGCCCAGCCCCGTCTGATGGAACCAATCTATCTTGTGGAGATTCAGTGCCCTGAGCAGGTAGTTGGTGGCATTTACGGTGTCTTGAACAGAAAGCGTGGACACGTCTTTGAAGAATCTCAAGTGGCAGGCATACCAATGTTTATAGTGAAAGCCTACCTGCCAGTCAATGAATCATTTGGGTTCACTGCAGACCTAAGATCAAACACTGGTGGCCAGTCCTTCCCACAGTGTGTATTTGATCATTGGCAGATTCTTCCTGGAGATCAATTTGACAATGCCACCAGGCCAAACCAAGTTGTGGCTGAAACCCGCAAGAGGAAGGGTGTGAAGGAGACTGTTCAAGCTTTGGATAACTTCTTGGACAAGCTGTGATTTTCCATCTGTTCTCTGCCCAACACCATGACTGGCTTTGGGAAATGGACTCTAAACTTCTTGGGTGATGGCTTTTTTAAAAGAAGCTTACCCTTTACCTTCCTATTGTACTAAAGTGAGACATCCCCTTAACATTCATCTTGATGTTTCACTGTAGTTTTGGGAAGACTATTTATTATATTTTGTGAGCTCTCCTTATCTTGTATCTGGGGTAGCTCATGAAATTGCAGTCTTCTGATGGGGTGGTTGGTGCCAGACAATAAGTTGTAATACTGCGCAGTCACAGCATGAATATAAACAACAAATTAGAGCGAATTAAAGAAAACCTATATTTGAAAAAAAAAAAAAGACAATATTGACATCTAATTAGAGAGACTACTTTTTTTTTTTTTACAGAATATTAAGTTTTTTTAATAGTGTAATGTAATGCAGAGAGTAGGAGGATGCAATTAATTTGCTTATATTTGAAAACTTGGACTGCTTGCAATACCACATATTGCCACAAGGACCATCTAGTAAAAGACAAAAACAAGCAGATTTCCTTAAATGTTATGCTTGAAATGGGTTTCTAAATGATTCACCTGAACACAAAACGATGAGAGGCCAGATTGATCCAAAAAGGCAGCAAGTTATCTCTGCATATTTGCATATATTAGTGCATTCCTTAAGTTTATTGATGGAGAAGATGGGCTTGGTGTTTTGCAGTCCAAGTCTTGGTGATCATTTGGTGGTTGGGAATTGAGCTAACTATGTTGTTTTTACTGACTTAATTTGTGTATATCTTCTTATTCTTTTTTAGTATATATATTTTTGCATGTTTAGGGCAATGTTTTGCTGATGGAACAATGAAGATGGCCATCATGTGTGCAAGAGTAACTGTTTTCGGTGTTCAAAAATAATTTGAAGGTCACGCTTACTAAAACTGTGTTCTTTATGCATTCTCTTTAGTCGCCCATCAGAGGGATCAAGTTGTATTATTTAAAGGGGAGTCCTGAAGCAGTTAGGAATTTTGGGTGAGTTTATATATGTTGTGCCTTAATATAATAAAATCACGGATCCCAAAAGCCCTACTTAGATATATTTATTTGTGTAAATTAAAATATTTGGTTACAATGGCAGTGGAGGGCGATACATTTGTGCTTGGATTTGAGGTCATTTTTGTCTAATTGAAGGTAATAAAACATAAAACTTGAAAATGAACAAGAATGTACCATATTGTAATTTTTACAATCATATATATATATATATATATATATATATATAAATATATTTACGATTATTTTTTATTGTATTTTTATATTTTGAAACCACCTGAAGTCATTTTTTTTTTAAATTCAGTGTTAAATAGTCATTTAAATTCCCTTTACATTAAAATCAAATGTAAGAACAAATTAAACAAACACAAGGTTAATAGCGTATGTCTCCAATGCATATGTGTATATTTTATGAGAGATTTAAATGAGCAATGCCCTCATCATTTTCCGATTAACCTCATGTAACTTTTATATTCACTTTGTTCTGCCAAGCTGCTAATGAAAGCATTTTCTAAGATGGTTTAGGGCTGGTAGGGGTTAATCAGGGCAGGGCTTAGAGATAGGATACTGGCTTATGGAACTAAGACAGCTGAAACTGTAAAGTACTGTACGCTTCAATGATTTTTCCTACTGATGGAAGAAATAGCATGAAATCTCTTTCTCTGTAATTTTCAGCATTGATTCTCTATGTTCAAATAAACTCCTTGATGACAGGGCTCCAGTGACACAGAAGACAAGCTCAGGAAAACATGAACCTTCACGCTCATTACTATCTTGCGGTGTTCATTACTGCATGTTCCATCAACTCCGGTAAGTACAATTTATACCTAACATACATTATATAACATTAAGTGTGGCAGCTGCGAGATCTCGCTAGCCTTCTGTACAGCAAAACGTTTGATCAGAGAACTTCGGAGTCCTCTGTCATTCCGTTGGTTAAGTTTGTTATTTCTGTGATGGGTATTGTATGGTGTTAAAAATGACAAAATACATATAGTATAAAAAAAATAAAATTCAACTATGGGTGTGAGGAAACGCGTTTCATTTTATACTTTAGTATAGTTTTACACGAGAGATCAATTTTTATACTTTGCAATTAAATTAGGAAACCTCTTTCACATCAGGATGGTGATGGCAAATATTTGTCACTCCAGCTGTTTTGGACTGCGTTTCCCATGATGCTCAGCAAGCCCTTCAGATTGCTTAGTGTTGCGTGAAACATAGTAGAAACAAAAAAATCTGGAGTACCAAACTGAGTGCATTCTCTGCCTAAGGGAAGCAATTACACCAAAATGCAAAAACAGAAATGACCACAGTAGACAACTGTAAATTAACAATGCATTCATTTAAAATTCAGAGTGGGGGTATTGCAATATCTTTCTTTAAAAAAACAAGAACAAAGACAACGCAGAAGAAGTTATTAATGAAGAATTTGCCCTGATTTTGTTTGACGTTGTTTTTTATTTATATATTTTTATGCTGAGGGACTTTGATGGAAATGAGTAATGAATGCAAAAAGATCAATAAACATTTGGAAGAAACCTGATTTATTTCTGATCAACAAACATGTGTATACCTATGACACGAGAGTTGACTTATTGGCTACATTGATATACGATATACGACAGTGAAATAAATTAAAATGACTTGAACGAAGGGATTCTGACTGTATATTTAACTACTTCACAGCAAGTATAATCTATAGTGACCTGCAGATCAATCAGAAGATACAGGGCATAGGTCACTAGTTCTGCCACAAATTGAATATAAATAGGATATGTGCACAGCATAATATATCCTTATTAAAACACTAGTTAGGGAAAACAGCGTTCATGAATCTGTCCTCAGCCAGGGGACCTTTATAGAGAATGGGAACAGGGCTGATCACAAACTGTAGTGTGTTTAATAAATATTACTGATTAATCTGTATACTTAAATAGAAATGTTTGGCACATGCATTATTTATGGTTATACATAAGTTATGCAAAATGATCACATTACAACTGAGAAGAACAGTATGCATCTGATATAGAAATTCCTCTGTGTGAAATGCTTTCACTCTACGAGCACCAACATAGGTATGGAGGGGGCAGAAGATAATTTTACTGTATGTTGTTAATTGACCTCTAAGTCATCGCTGTCCTATATCAGTTATAATCATCATCAAAACTAATCAATCAAACTAATTTATTTATGCAAGATGATTGTCAACTTTATTGAATCATGGGTATGAATAGTTTTAGTTCATTATGCAAGCTTTGTATTTTATCTTTTTTTTTACTGTTTGTTATATCTGAAATTCACTGCTGGGTGACAGGTGTTATATTTCTAAATATCCGTTAGCATTTTAATCTAATTTTCAGTATCACATCAAAAGCAGGCGTCATGAAGTTTATTGTTTAGTAAGTGGTTTTATATTTGCCACTTGCTTTATTTAATTTTGTTTAGCTGTCTTTTAATTATTTTTGTTATTTGAATGCTAAATTGTACTAAGGGGTTTATTTGGTAGTCTGTGAAGGGCAAACTGGGGCAAGAATAAAAATGATTGTTTAAAATTGCAGAAGTGGATAAATCTCCTATTCCAATATTCAGTAGATGTAAATTGGTTTACAGTTCAGCTCTTGTCTCTGAATATGAATATTTGGTTTATTCACATTCAGTCACTTTGTCAAATCAAAGTCAAAAACATTCAGGTGCTGATACTGGGATTTCAGTTCAGTACGCAGTGGGGTATATTGCTGAGAAGCCAAAAATAAAAGACCTACCAACCTAATGATAATAACAGCATATGTAACAAACAAACAGACTCACAAACACACACACACACACACACACGTGTGCTGAATCTGCAGGTAAAACAAGGATCACAAGATTCTCATCTCCACAAATCATCCAAACATGAGATTGATGGTTCCCCACTGGATCCCCAGTTTATTAGTTTCCCCAAGTAGAGGTGTCCGTGATTCCCTGTTAACTGGTGGGGCTTCCCTTTGCAAACACAAAGGGCAGATAATAAAAAGCATGGTTCAAGTGTATGCCCCTATGCCCCTACTGTACAGTAACTGGATGCCTGATACCACCAATTCTAAATTCCATTACCTGGAAAGTGTCCAAGGGATCACCAATCCTCAGTCCACAAAGTACTCTACCGAAAGTCATTCACAAAAAATACAACCTCTTCTCTTAACTCCATAGAAAAACGCCTCTAAAATAAAATGTCACCTTGATGTTACCTTGATTGCATAATCATGTCAAGCAATACCCTTGAGTTCTCCTAATCTGTTCATTAAAGTGACCTACCCCCAATAAACAACTATTAAGTCCTGACGTATTTCTAAAATAATACATGTGTACGAAATGAGGTTCTATCATGTACAGGTCAGAGAATGTACATTCCCTATGTGAGCAGTCCTGCTTTGCAGAAGGATATGGTTGGCTCACCTGTGATTCCCAGCCTATAGCAATGCTTCTTCCAGTCATAATTGACTACAATGAAAACAGTTTTTGCCCTATTTTTGTATTATTATTATTATTATAGCGTCTGGACTTAAGGCTTTTCTATTTTTAAGGAGCCTATTTCAGTGGGCTGAAGAAGAATACTCGAGAGCATTGCTTGACATCTCTGGACAATGACGATAATTGTAAGTACAACTATATTTTATTTTGCACGGTTTTCTTTTTTGTTGAAATAATGGTTAGGGCAACATCTGTTTTTGAAGTTATGATCCCTTCAAGGCATTTCAAAATCTAAAGACATACGAGTGTATGCGTATATTATGCACATGGCTGTGAAGTCATGGTTGGCCTATATGTGGCTAAATGAAATTGGGTTTAGGGGTAAACTACAGGCTATTCCACGATTAGGCAACTTTCGCAACACCAAATGTTGTGGACTACATCTCCCCTGATGCTTTGCCAGTATTATGAATGTAAGAGCATTATGGAAGGTGAAGACCACAAAATCTGGAGTGCCAAGGGTTGCCTACCCCTGCAATAGACCAAACTAATGGAATTATTAGATTGCAGATGTGCTGCATCCTACTCCAATGGTCATATGAGTTTCCTTCCCCTCCATACAGATTAATTAAAGGATTGATAGACCAAGTACCAATCCCCTGGTCTTATATTCCATTTCCCCATGTAAAGCCATTCTCCTCTAAGATTAAAATACATTATCCAGAAGATTTAAATATCCACTGGTCAACAACTATAATTGTAAATAAATATCCAGGCCTTTTTCCCATTTCACCCCTATAATAAATATTGTTATTTATCTACCTCCTCCACCTCAAATAGGGAGGGAGCTTGGTAAAAATACAATAAATCTCAATAATTATTTTGGTCCAAGATAAGCATGTGAACTCGGATCTCAAACCTTAGAGATATATACAAAACCACAAACAACATAGATTTCAATTAACAAATCATTCTAATTTAAAAAATGATCCAGTATCCATCAGTCATCAACTAGAGGAATCATGATTACAATCTCCAGAGAGTTCAATACTGTACACATAATGCAAATGAGCTAAATATAGTCCTTTATCAATATAATTATGTTAGGAGAGAAGGCATCCGCTGGTCCTTAATGTACAATACATAGAGCCAGACACTTGGCAATACATAGTACCAGACACTTGGCATACCGGAGCTCTACATGTAAGGTATTATAACATGATTATACATAGAAAGACAATACATAGAACCAGACACTTGGCATCCCGGAGCTCTACATGTAAGTTATTATAACATGATTATACATAGAAAGTCAATACATAGAACCAGACACTTGGCATACCGGAGCTCTACATGTAAGTTATTATAACATGATTATACATAGAAAGACAATACATAGCACCAGACACTTGGCATACCGGAGCTCTACATGTAAGTTATTATAACATGATTATACATAGAAAGACAATACATAGTACCAGATACTTGGCATCCCGGAGCTCTACATGTAAGTTATTATAACATGATTATACATAGAAAGTCAATACATAGAACCAGACACTTGGCATACCGGAGCTCTACATGTAAGTTATTATAACATGATTATACATAGAAAGACAATACATAGAACCAGACACTTGGCATCCCGGAGTTCTACATGTAAGTTATTATAACATGATTATACATAGAAAGTCAATACATAGAACCAGACACTAGGCATCCCAGAGCTCTACATGTAAGTTATTATAACATGATTATACATAGAAAGACAATACATAGAACCAGACACTTGGCACCCCCTAGCTCTACATGTAAATTATGATAACATGCTCATTATTCTGAGTCAACAAAAGGGGTACTATACATTGTCCAGAGGTTTTATTACTAGAATCAAACTCATAGCCTCATTGACCTTGGGTGGAGGATTCAAAGTCACTTAAATTTCCCCTCACTTTTCAATCAATCACCTATTGAGTACCGTAAAATAAGTCATTAGGGCTGGTCTGTGGTTTCAGTGGAGGTCCTGGTGACTCCCATGATATTGATTTATTTGTTTTCAAATTAAAAGTCTGAGAAAAGGCAGTGTTACATTGCTTTCCATGGACACCTATAGTGGCTGCCACTCAGACAGCCACTAGAGGCACTTCCTGCATCTTCACAGGACTGATATAATACATTCTCCTCATTCCCAGAGGGAAAGGCAGTCCCCACGGGTTTCCTCCATGGGTGGGGGGTGGATGCTTCCTCTCCTCTGCCTTAAAAGATAACTACTGCGGAGTTCAGAGGTTGTTTCATACTAGCTGCCTTCCTGGCCATATCTATAATTACATCCAAGCGTCATTTAGTCCACTTTATCTCTGTCACAGACTATAACAAATACAATTTCAAATCTGTGAACTGTATTTCAGAAATATCAAACATTATTTTGTATATATTTATGTTTTGTGATGATTTTTATGAATTGGGGACATGGGTAGTTTGGTTCTGGAGGGGTACGCGGGACATTAGTATTTTAATGGATTAACCATTTACAGTTGGAGTGTTTTTATATGAGGGAGAAGGCTGTGTGAAAATATTTGTTGGTGTTGTATATTCATGGGATTGGAAATATGTAATTCACAACTGGGTGTTAAGGGACATGCAAGAAACAGCTAATAAATCTCACAGTAATAAAAAACTGCCCTTTAGGGCATCACCAGCAATGCAAGCATTTTCACTGCCATACACCTTTAGGATGATCCTCCCTCCTGTCCCAGGTGCGTATTTCCCAACTTTGGGAAGTATGATGCTGCAGCAGCAGTAAGATGCAGAGAGGTCTGCTAACTAAATTTTTCCTAATATAATATAGATCAGATGGGGACCCTAGTGACATTGTCTCAAACCTTAGGGACCTGTCTTTAGTTACTTTATGGGTAATGTAGCAATGACCTAGTCAGTGCTTAAAATAAATAACCATAACACACAAAACCCTACTGACCAAAATAATATCCAAGAGCCCAATATAAAATTTTGGTATTCCCACCTTAATTTAAGCAGCTGTTGATCAACACAATGTACCAGTTTGGTGGGGGGAGGGTGAGTGGGAACCACACCCACACCCCCCACCCCCCCAATGTTTCTGGGTTTCCAGTTATACAGATCAAGTCATCCACTCTGTATGAGCAGACAATAAGATAGTTATATATATGAAGTCGTGCTTGGGAGATTTAAGTTTCTTTTTTTTCATCCCCCCTAGCCCATTCATGTGTCTCATTCCCCCAACCCCTTCGTGTGTCTTATCCCCCTAGCCCCTACATGAGTCTCATTTCCTCCCCCTAGCCCCTCAATGTGTCTCATCCCCCAGCCCCTTCATATGTCTCATTTCCTACCCAGACCCTCCATGTGTCTCATCCTCTCAGCCCCTCCATGGCTCATTTCCCGGCCAGTGCCTCCATGTGTCTCTGCCCTTCTGTACCTGCTCACCTTCATGTAGAGTGCCCAGTCTGACATGAAGTGCTTGTGGTCAAACTGTGGTCTGCTTGGCCACTACATGCAATGACTGGCAGAAGGGGTGGGGGAGGAGGGAATGAGACACATGGCCCCAGGCCAGTGTGGTTGTGCACTGGCCCTGCAGTTATGCCAGCCCACCTGGAAATACCCAGTGGGCCAGTTCAGTTCTGTGTTTCAGCAGGGGTCTACACGACAATCAGCCCCCCCACCCCCCGGAACTAACAGGTCGGGTGTCACCGTTTGGACCCCTGCGACCGTGGTAGTTCTACCAACGGATTCCGATCAGATTGACAATCTTATATCTACCATAGGTAATTCCAGTTGGAATTCAGTCATCACAACTAAATCTGCACTGTTCAGCTAGATACATTCACTGTCAAGTTTAAAATCAGTGCTTTTTCGCATCTGAAACCTAAAGAAACTGTCCACCCCCATTGTTAAAGTTAAGCCCCCATCCAATGCCCATGGGTGTCGGATGGGGGGCACATGGGAGACCAATGACAGGTGGGTCAAATTGTCGTCCCTTCTCATTTGATCTGTGAATAAAATCAACATTTAGAGATTATCCCCTAACCATTGACAATATTTTTTGCCATCAATCATCTCTTTTTTTTGGCATCTCAGATGGAACTCTAAATCATGAAACAAATGAACCTGTTTGTCCATTGTGCTTCAGAATTGTGTGACCTGGCAATTGCCTAAAATTCTGATGAATCCCAGTTAGTTTGAAACTTGAATGCACAAGTCTATTAAATGCAGTTATACATTTCAAATGTCCCCGTATGCATCGGGATGGTTTTGCCCTGTTCAATACAGAACCATATGGACTTTAGTGAAAAGACCCATGAGTTTTTCATCCAGTGCTACCTTTCATTTTTTTACTCTTGTAAGAGACAGTGAAACAATCCCCAAATTCTCTAATCAAGAGATTGAAAGCCTTTAATGAGGAAAAAAATTCATTTTTCTTCTTACATAGTTACATAGCTGAAAAGAGATATGTGTGTTCCTTCAAGTTTAGTCTTTATCATTTTTGCTGTTGAAGTACCAATTTTTCAACAAACTAGGAAAAAAAATATTTTACTTGCTTGATCTGTATTCATCCATCCACGTAAATGCCTAAGAGATTGAAGGTTTTTGTCTGTGTTTGTTCCATTCTCTACTAATTGAATTACTTCCTTGTGCCTTTGATGTGCCCTCCGTGTGTTTCCAATATAATCAGTTAGTATGCAGACCTGTCTTTGCAACTAGAAATTGGTGATCCTTTACGATGTACAGCACAAATAAATAGGGTTAATTCAATTTCTACTAAGAGCATAACTATTGATATAAGATACAATAATACTAAATGCCACAAGCTCTTGTACAACAACATAATATTGGAATAGTATAGTGGAATATACTATACCATTTTAATAGGTACATCTACATCTACCTAGGTCTGCAGAATATTTGGACTTGCATTCAGTGCAATTCCAGTGCATTATGAATTCAGTAACATGCTAATAACATTTCATAAGCATCATTTAGTTCCAGCAGACTTTTCAACCAGACTTTCATGCTGTGAACCTCTGACTCCATTTGTGCAAGCAACTGGAGAAAACTGAAGTCAATGTCATGTTCATGGAGCTATCTTAAAATCTCTCATGGAGCTAACTTGACATGATGTTTACTTTGTGACATCGTACATTAGCCAACTAGAACTATGAATTTAAAAATAGAGAGATTGTGCCAAATGGTGTAGCAAGTGGTCAGCAACACAGCATATGTACTGTATCATTAAACTTATATTCATTTGGCTTAATGTGATCCCCAAAACCCTATAATGCCCTTTATTACCATTCTGTACTCCAACATTGACTCTGACAGAAATGTAGCCCTTTCTTGAACTCGTGTAATAGTGCATGAAAAAAATTAAAACAAATCCATTTTTGAATGAGCTTCCTGAATCCAATTTTGATACATATATATTTTATTTCCTGGCTAATCATATGGGTTTAGCTCCTCCCCCTAACCCTCAGGATAGGAAACACAAACAATAAAACAATTAAGCATACCTTCCCCTGGTATAATAGGAACCCCATTAGCCATCATACCTCAGTCTTTTTCCTGCCCTCATAGCCCTAGGACAGTTGTTATTTTTTATTTCCTTGATTTTTTAAGGGAAAAGGTTTTTTTTTTTATGCTCATCTGATCATGCTGCTATGATCTTCTCCCTGTGGAGGTCATCCTTCCTCCACAGGAAGCCCAGGCACATGTAGCCCTTTCTCTGCATGAGTTGGGAACCCCTAGGAGCCATGGAGGGTACTCCCCCTGGCATCTGGAGCCTGTGTTCGCCAGGATTGAGCGTCCAGACCTCGATCAGACGATCATCCATCCATTAAGACGCCCGTGCATGCGCAATGGTCGCGGCTGGATTTTCAGCATATTTGCCCTCATCCAAAATGGTAGAGCCGCGGACTTGCGGCCAATCGGTGCATGCGCTCCTTCTTAAAGGCGCAGAGCGGGAAATTTGAAAATGGCGGTAATTCTGCAAAATAACTAGCATTTTCATTTCCTTTTGACATACAGTGCTCTCTAGTGCCACATACATTCTCTGCAGGTATGTATTATACTTCAATCTATAATACTGAGTGCTGCTCAGTTTTGTTGCATTTAGTTCAATTGTAACAACCTTTTTTATATAGCCCTTTTACTATGATGGATCCAGCATCTCCATCTGCTAAGTTGGCAAGATCTGCAATAGGTCATAGGTGAGCATTACATTTTTTTACTATTTCTCAAGATTTAAAAAAGTGCATGGAGGGTACAGTCATATGACTTCTGTGTTTTAGAGCCCTCAAGACCGGTTTGGCCCTAGATCTCCATCTAAGAGGAGGGATAAACCGGCTGCCTGCCCTGGATGTGGCGCAAGGCCTTTGGATAACTGCAAGCTATGCTGCAAGTGCTTATCTATGGTTGCAGGAGAGTCGGAACATTGCAGGTCACCTCAAGCTTCTACGTCTTCAGCTCAGGACATAGCTTATTGGATTAAGCAAGCTGTGGAGGAAGGGATTTCAGAATCCAATAGAGGTAAAAGATCCAGATATAAGAGCTTTGGCCGAGAATCCGACTTATCTGAAGAGGACTTCAGACACACCGCTGGTTCCTTAGAAATGGAACTCATCTCTTCTAGTGAGGAAGAGTTTATGGAACACCCTTGCTCATCAGACGCTAAGACTATGGAGCATCTGATCAGGGTAGTTAGAAAAACTTTGGATTTGCCAGAAGAAGTCAAAGAAGTTTCAACTTCTGATAGGCATTTCGGAGACCTCCGCAAGAGGAGACCTTCCTTTCCGGTGCACAGATCCATTAAGGAGCTGATACGCTCAGAATGGAATGCTCCTGGAAAAAGAATTACTAGTCAGGGCAGACTGTCCAAAGTGTCCCCTATTAAGGAAGAGGACTCAAGAATGTGGATCTCGGTCCCAAAGATTGATGCTCCGATTATTAAGGTGGCAAAAAGATCAACTCTGCCTATTGATAGTAATGCTTCACTCAAGGAACACATGGATAAAAGAATTGATGCAGATTTTTCTAAGGTCTTCATGACAGCAGGCTTGGGATGTCATCTGGAGAAGGTTCTTAAGCTTAACACCCTTAAAGTGCACTTATCAGTTATCTCTGCTCTTTCTGGTATTCGATGGGCCCTTCATCCTATGGTGGTTTGTTTTTTCAAGGCCGTATTACGTATTAGACCTCCTGTCAGACAACTGGCGGCTCCTTGGAATTTGCCTCTGGTGCTACAGGCTCTAAAGGATCCTCCCTTTGAACCTATTGGTGACATACATATGCAGATCCTTTCTCAGAATACTCATTTATTACTGGCTCTAGTCTCAGCCAGAAGAATGTCTGACATCCGGTCTTTATCTGCCAAGGAACCTTACACTTCCTTCTTCGATGAAAGGGTCGTTCTCCGCCCGAGACCTGAATTTCTTCCGAAGCTAGTTACATCTTTCCATCTCAATCAGGAAATTGTCTTGCCTGCCTATTTTCAGCATCCATCTACCCCTGAAGAGTCAAGGTGTCACATGCTGGATCTTCTGAGATGTTTGTCGATGTATGTTGAGCGCTCTGCTGCCTGGAGGAAATCCTCTCAATTGTTTGTTATACCTTGGGGTTCTCGCAAAGGTGAAGCCACTTCAGTCTCCACTCTTCGTTCCTGGACGGTTTCTGCTATTTCCAGGTCTTATAAAGCAAGGAACGTTCCTGTTCCCAAAGACATCAGGGCTCATTCCACAAGGTCCATTGCTACTTCGTGGGCTGCAGAGTCAGGAGTTTCTGCAGAGAGCATCTGTAAGGCTCTAAAGACCTTTGTAAAACTGTCAGGGTACCTGTTGGTGATGTATCCAGGGAGGACATCCTCTCTGCTTAGGGGCTCTCTTCACCTAGCATTTCGGCATATTCCGGCCGTTTTCGCGCCGGCCGCGCTAGCTCCTCCCCCTTTAATGACGCGACGGCTAGCGTCGACGTCATGACGTCGGCATTTGCATAAAGTGCCGGGAACCGCTATTCCGGACCTTTTGGGGGCGTGGTCTCTATTTAGGTAACAGGGTATTTAAAGGAAACCTTTACTACTGCTCATTGCCCTGTCGTGGTTCTAGCTTGCTAGTCACTCAGCGCGTTCTTTATCTTGTGTTTCCGGTTTTGACCCTTGCTTGTCTTTTGTCCTGTTGTCCTCTCCTCTCCTTTGACTCGGCTTGTATCTCGCTTACCTGTCCTCCGGCTCCCTTGACCTCGGCTTACCTTTTGACTATTCTTGCTTTGTCCTTACGTTAGTCCGGCCATTCTAAGGTCCGGTATACGTACCTCCTTCTGTGCGCACTCTGCGTATTGGATCCCTGTCAGTTTCCTGACATTACGACAGGGCCATGATGGATCCTGCAGGTGCTAGTCCTCCTGACCCCAGATTTGAGGCCATGGACCATAGAATGGACCAAATGGCTTTAGCGTTACAAACTTTGTTGACACGCTCCAGTACCCAGTCTGAAGAAATACGTTCCACTGCTAGCCACTCGCTAAGTACTGGTTTGGAAGTAGCCACTGTAGGCGCATCTTCCCATGTCACGTCACCATTACGATATGGGGGTTCGCCTGATGCTTGTCGTGGTTTTTTAAACCAGATAAGTATACATTTCGAACTACAACCCCGGGCTTACCCCACTGACAGGGCTAAGGTAGGCTTTATTATAACCCTGCTAATAGATAAAGCACTTAGATGGGCCAATCCCCTTTGGGAGAATGACAATCCTTTAGTCTACAACTACACTGCGTTTGTCACGGCTTTTAGAAGAACCTTTGACCCCCCAGGGAGGAAGATTAATGCGGCCAGATCCCTGTTACGCCTTAAACAACAAGATAGGACCCTTGTAGAATATGCTCTAGAGTTTAGATCATTGGCAGCAGAAGTGAAATGGAACGAACAAGCTTTTATGGATGTTTTCTTGAATGGGTTGTCTGATGAAATTCTAGATGAAATTGCCACAAGAGAACTTCCGGAAAATTTAGAGGATTTAGTATCCTTCATTTCCAGAATAGATGAACGCATGAGACAGAGGCAGAACACTCGGGAAAGAGTTACTAGACTTCCTGTAAGACTCGCTCCCTCATTTCAGAACCCTGACTCCTATAATCCTACTCCACCAGAACCTATGCAAATAGGTAATACTCGCTTATCTGAGGCTGAGAGACAGTACAGAAGAAGGGAGGGTCTCTGTTTATACTGCGGGCTGAGAGGTCACCTACGTCTTAGTTGCCCTAATCGTCCGGGAAACGCTCGCACCTAAGTTCCCTTAGAGGACGGGCCTTGGGTGTTTCATTACTGTCCTCTATGCATAATAAAAAAGACCATAGGCTTCTGATTCCTGTCTCTCTAGCTTGGGAAAAGGGGTTTATTGCTACGATGGCATTATTAGATTCTGGAGCAGCAGAAAGCTTTATAGACCAAACTTTCGCTAATAAGCATTGTATCCCATTCCAATTGAGAGATACACCCTTGGCCGTTGAGGCCATAGATGGTAGACCTTTATCTGAACCAGTAATATTTCATGAGACCGAACCCGTTAAGCTTACTGTTGGTATTTTCCACGAAGAGTTGATTTCCCTTCTGTTAATTTCCTCCCCGGCAGTCCCAGTGGTTCTAGGATATTCTTGGCTCAAGAGACACAACCCTCAGATTGACTGGGAGGGTGGAGAAATCGTTTCTTGGGGTATGGGTTGTAGGAAAGAATGTCTGCAGAGAGTTACTTCTGTTTGCCCCGTAAACTCTTATGTTAACTCTTCTCAATCCACAGACGTTCAGATACCATTACAATATCTAGACCTCAAATCTGTATTTGACAAGGGTAAGGCGGATACTTTACCTCCCCACCGGTCTTATGACTGTTCTATTAAACTTTTCCCTGGTACTATGCCTCCCAGGGGTACGGTATACCCTCTATCCACCAAGGAAAACTTAGTTTTAGAGGAATATATCAAGGAGAATTTAGACAAGGGATTTATTAGAAAGTCTTCTTCTCCGGCGGGGGCGGGTTTCTTTTTTGTAGAAAAGAAAGACGGTACCTTACGTCCTTGTATAGACTATCGGGGATTGAACAAAATTACTATCAGAAATGCTTACCCTATTCCTTTGATTACTGAACTCTTTGACAGACTAAAGGGCTCGAGTATTTTTACTAAACTTGACTTAAGAGGAGCATATAACTTAGTGCGAATTAAACAAGGAGATGAATGGATGACAGCATTTAATACCCGTTACGGGCATTATGAGTATACCGTAATGCCGTTTGGGCTTTGTAACGCCCCGGCCGTCTTCCAAGACTTGATCAATGAAGTTCTTAGAGAATTCCAACATGAATGTGTAATTGTATATTTGGATGATATACTAATCCATTCTAGAGACATTAATTCACATCATAGACAAGTCAGAAAGGTATTACAGAAACTTTTACAACATGGATTGTATTGTAAATTGGAAAAATGTAGCTTTGACCAGTCTCAGGTAACTTTCTTAGGTTACGTAATTTCCAAAGACGGGTTTATGATGGACCCGACCAAACTAAAATCGATTTTAGATTGGCCTTTACCTAAGGGACTCAAAGCCATACAAAGATTTCTTGGATTTTCTAATTATTACAGACGTTTTATTAAAGGGTACTCCTCTGTTATCGCTCCTATCACTAATATGACCAAACAAGGAGCCGATACCAAAACCTGGTCTACTGAGGCTTTATCTGCTTTCGAAACGCTCAAACAGTCTTTTGCCTCAGCACCTGTATTAGTTCATCCTGATACCTCTCTACCCTTTTTACTTGAAGTTGATGCGTCTGAAACAGGGATAGGCGCAGTGTTATCCCAAAGACAAAGTTTAGATAAGCCGCTGCACCCTTGCGGTTTTTTTTCCAAGAAACTATCACACACTGAAAGGAGATATGACATTGGTGATAGAGAACTTTTAGCTATCATTATGGCATTAAAGGAATGGAGACATTTGTTAGAGGGCACCGTCCTCCCAGTTACTATCTTGACTGACCACAAAAATTTATCGTATATGGGGGAGGCCAAAAGATTATCTGCCAGGCAGGCACGTTGGTCTATGTTCCTTACACACTTTAATTATGTGCTTACTTACAGGCCTGGTTCTAAGAACACTAAGGCAGACGCTTTGTCACGTCAGCACGAACCTACCACCTCTACAGAGGATACTTTGTTCCCTATTATTCCGGAAGTCAATATTATCGCCAACACCAATGTCAAAATACACTCTCCATTGCTCGCTGATATTCAAAACGAACAATCTCTTGCTCCCGAACGTACTCCTGTGGGCCGCTTGTTCGTGTCTCCCAAATTCCAAGTGGACATTATTCGCTGTTTCCATGATAGCAAGATCGCTGGTCACCCCGGCATCCACAAAACTTACTGCCTTATCTCCAAAGACTTCTGGTGGCCCGGTTTACGTAGGGATGTGGAAGACTTTGTCAAGGCTTGCAATGTTTGTGTCAGGAATAAACTTCCGCGGGATCTCCCTTGTGGTTTATTGCAGCCCTTAGTCGTTCCCAACAAGCCTTGGGCTTGTTTGGCTATGGATTTTATTGTTGATCTACCAGCTTCCAATAGGCATACTGTTATCCTCACGGTCCTTGACAGGTTTACTAAAATGGCTCATTTCGTTCCCTTGCCTAAACTTCCGTCCTCCCCCGAACTGGCCGTGATATTTGCTAGAGAAATTTTCCGTTTACATGGTATTCCCAATGAGATTGTGTCAGACAGGGGTTCCCAATTTATTTCCCGTTTTTGGAGATCCTTCTGTTCACAGTTGGGCATCAAACTGAATTTTTCTTCGGCCTATCATCCTCAATCTAACGGAGCAGCCGAACGCACTAACCAAAAAATTGAGCAATAACTACGTTGTTTTGTTTCTGAACACCAGGATGACTGGGTCGGTCTGATTCCTTGGTTTGCTCACAACAACCTTGTTTGTGGTTCCACTCGTAATAGCCCCTTTTTCTTGAACTATGGCTTTAACCCTACTGTTCTTCCGTCGGTGTCTCCTTCCCAGGGTATACCGTCGGTTGATATTCATATAGCCAACCTGAGAAAGTTGTGGGATCAGACTCGACAAATTCTTGAACGTAGTTCCGCGGTGTTTAAGTCACATGCTGATAGGCGTAGACGTCCTGCTCCTATTTTTTCTCCGGGGGATAGGGTCTGGTTGTGTACCAGACACATTCGCCTGAAAGTTCCTTCCTTGAAGTTTGCTCCTCGTTACATTGGTCCTTACAGGGTACTGAGGAGGATCAACCCGGTTTCTTATTTGCTGGATCTACCTCCTACTCTACGCATCCCTAACTCTTTTCATGTGTCGTTATTGAAACCTCTTGTTTGTAACAGATTTTCCTCCCGCTCTACTCCTCCATCCTCAGTCCGTGTGGATGGTCAGGAGGAATATATCATCAAGTCCATCCTTGATTCTCGTATTTCTAGGGGGAAGCTGCAATACCTCATAGACTGGAAAGGTTATGGTCCAGAAGAGAGGTCTTGGGTTCCTGGTATAGACGTGCATGCTCCTCGTCTTCTTCGGGCCTTCCACGTTCGTTTTCCTTCTAAGCCAGGTCCCATCCACCCGGTGGGCGTTTCTAGAAGGGGGGGTACTGTCAGGGTACCTGTTGGTGATGTATCCAGGGAGGACATCCTCTCTGCTTAGGGGCTCTCTTCCCCTAGCATTTCGGCATATTCCGGCCGTTTTCGCGCCGGCCGCGCTAGCTCCTCCCCCTTTTATGACGCGACGGCTAGCGTCGACGTCATGACGTCGGCATTTGCATAAAGTGCCGGGAACCGCTATTCCGGACCTTTTGGGGGCGTGGTCTCTATTTAGGTAACAGGGTATTTAAAGGAAACCTTTACTACTGCTCATTGCCCTGTCGTGGTTCTAGCTTGCTAGTCACTCAGCGCGTTCTTTATCTTGTGTTTCCGGTTTTGACCCTTGCTTGTCTTTTGTCCTGTTGTCCTCTCCTCTCCTTTGACTCGGCTTGTATCTCGCTTACCTGTCCTCCGGCTCCCTTGACCTCGGCTTACCTTTTGACTATTCTTGCTTTGTCCTTACGTTAGTCCGGCCATTCTAAGGTCCGGTATACGTACCTCCTTCTGTGCGCACTCTGCGTATTGGATCCCTGTCAGTTTCCTGACAAAAACCCTACAAAGTAAATGTGGCTTCTCGCTCAGATTCGGAGTTTGGCCTGTCTGTCCTCAACTCCTTTAATCCACATAGCTGATTTATATTAAACTATTTTTTGTAGCATGTATTTCCCTCCCAGTGTTATTATTGCTGGGTGAATCCCATATGTTAAATGCTGACATGATTAGCCAGGAATACGGAAAATGTATTTATAATTACCGTAATTTTCTTTTCCTGGCTATTATTCATGGCAGCATTTGGTTTCCCACCCTCTCTTGGATTTTCTTCTTGTTACTTGACTGAAGTGTGATGGCTAATGGGGTTATTATACCAGGGGAAGGTATGCTTAATTGTTTAATTGTTTGTGTTTCCTGTCCTGAGGGTTAGGGGGAGGAGCTAAACCCATATGTTAAATGCTGCCATGAATAATAGCCAGGAAAAGAAAATTACGATAAGTATGAATACATTTTCCGTATTATTTTTGTTTTTTTCATTTGAGTAAAATGTCACAAATATAATTTTGACACGAGCTAGGAAAAAGCTGAGCTTTTTTTAAAATCTATGTTGGAGGACACACATGCACCTGTTTTGACTTTGATCTAATGGTTGAAGTTGTAAGCTTTGATCTTTTAAACATCAAATGGTTTCAGTAAATCTCTATTGATTTTTGAATGACATTTATTTTCCTGTTCTCCTATATTTGGTTTTAGTCCTTTCGCGCTTCCATCCTTTGGCAGAGATTGAAGATGTTCTTCTACGAAACCTTTTCATTGGTTATCAGAAATGGGTGAGGCCGGTGCAAAATCCAAACCATACCATCAGAGTGAATTTTGGATTAAAAATATCTCAGCTCGTAGATGTGGTAAGAAAATGTCTAAATTTAATCTAATGATAAATATAAATGCAGATAAACAGTATACTTGTGAAGAGATTCATGCAGGATATGTGATAAATTTGATATCTGTGCGTATTAACCCCTTAAGGACCAAACTTCTGGAATAAAATGGAATCATGACATGTCACACATGTCATGTCTCCTTAACTGGTTAGGGACACTGTAGGCACAAAGACCACTTCAGCTTCAGCGTTGCCGGAATACCCATAGGAAAGCATTAATTAATGCTTTCCTTTGGAGAGGTCTAATGCACGCAGCCATTGCCGCACATGTCCATTAGGTGTCTTCCCCGACGGCGGCCATTGGCGGAGCCTGGGGGGCGGAGCCTGACCGAGTGCCGACAGACATCGGCGCTGGATTCAGGTAAGTGACTGAAGGGGTTTTAACCCCTTCAGCGACATGGGATGGGGGAGCGGGAGGGAGGGGGGCACTCCTAGATTCTACAGTGCCAGGCTTTGTTTTCCTGGCACTGGAGAATCCCTTTAATTATTCTTTAATTATGAATAAAATAGGCAGATAATCTTCATTCTGGATTCATCCCAATCTTCTTACATCATGACCCGATTCTAGAACTTAAAACGGAAATGTCACTTCACAGAATTTTTAATATTATGTTATACTTATTCCAAATATTTGATAAATATGTGTTGTGAGGTATGAGAAATAAATTAAATGCAGAGATCCATACATCAATCTTAGAACTGGTTGCCTCCATCTTGGCTCCTTGTGAATCTCTGCTATAAACTTTGCATTTTTTGCCATTAAACATAGTTAGAGGAAGGAGAGATACCGAGAGAGTGAAACAATGTTTTTGTTACTCCTCATTTTCTATCTGTGTCTTGACTAAATTGTTTAGTGATGTCATGGAACACCAAATTTAAATTAAAAAAAAGGTTAACACAAGTTATAGGTGATTTAAAATTTTTTATTTTTATTGGTTATTATTGATGTCCCGAACGGTTCGCCGAACGGTTCGCCACGGAAGGCGAACATATGCGCTGTTCGGTCTGCCCCCTATTCGTCATCATTGAGTAAACTTTGACCCTGTACCTCACAGTCAGCAGACACATTCCAGCCAATCAGCAGCACACCCTCCCTAGCAGACCCTCCCACCGCCTGGACAGCTCACTAAGAATGCAGCTTCACAATGAATGTAAAATGGATGCTGTCCAGGAGGTGGGAGGGTCTGCTGCTGATTGGCTGGAATGTGTCTGCTGACTGTGAGGTACAGGGTCAAAGTTTACTCAATGATGACATAGGGGCGGACCGAACAGCGCATGTGTTTGCCGTCCGTGGCAAACCGTTCGGCGAACCGTTTGGGACATCACTAATGGTTATGCTTTAAAAAGTAATATAATAAAGTATGTAACTTTTATGAAAGGAACACTATAAAGTGAGGAATACAAACTACAGAAATAGAATTAAGTAATTGCCAAGTTGGGGGGAGTGGCTTCAACAGATTCCTGTTGGGATCTGAGATCGCTATCCAAAAGAGTGCAGTTCTAGGAACAGTTTAGATTGTGTGTGTGTGTTATGTTATGTTTAAGGAAATACGTAAACATTTCTGTATCTTTAATGCTTCCATAGAAAAGACATTGAGATATGAACAAAACATTTAAACATCTCAAGAGTTTTGACAAAGTGGAGACATTTTCACCAGGAATATAATTGCCAAAACAAAAGCATATTTATATAATTTGGAGGATAGGATATTGGGCATAATGGCAAAAATGTGTTGTCTTGTTGAATAGTGATCCCTTTTGGAGCATGGTAGAAGACCTTTTGGAGGCTGTCTTCCAGAGGCCCTTTGTATTAGACTACTGGCTTTTCCTACGGTCCTGAAAAAGCATTTTAATAAAATCACTTTGGCAGCCAGTAGGGCTGTCCTCCCTCCATAAAATATGGAATCCCTGGCATGAATACACCTCTAATTCTTTGTTTTGACATGCTCTTTTTTGGCGATGCAAATTAATCGTGGTGGCTTTTCCATTTTCTTCTTTCCTCCTTCCCTAGTCCTATTCCTCTCCATCCCATTTTCTTATTATTTTACATATTTTGAGTTTGGGTCCTTATTATGTATAACTGGAAAATGAGATGTGATCTTCCATTCTTTGATTAATATTGCACTGTAATTTGTGCAATTTTTGTGTCTTTTAATTCAATAAAAGTATTATACAAAATGAAAAACTATTATACGTTTTTAAAATAGATTTATAACACTACAGGGCCATTTCATTTGGCTACAGAATGATTTTTAGGCAGCCATGGATAGGGCATTCTCTGGAATATTTTGGTTACTTTACAATATTTTGTTAGATATGAATGTGATGGCATTAGTTGTTTAGCTCATGAGCCAATTATTTCATTTGCACAAATTTACTCACAAATATAATGACATATGCATATTAAGCTTACAAACAAAAAGGAACTGAGCTCGTCCAAAAGAGGTACGGCACTGTAGAAAAGAAGGTCTGGAAAGTCTCGGTTCCTCCAGGGGACATGTAGCAATATATGATTCAACCAACCTGCAGGGCGGGCTTCACTGGTTATTGAACCTTGATTTAGTCAGCAGGCCCCAGGGAACTTGTATTTTATGTAATCCTGCATAATATAGAAGTCTATTTGGAACTAAAATTGGATTACAGCAATCTCTGCATTAGGACTCACACAAGCGTATTTGGTAGAGGCTAATACAATGGAAAATTAAGCAAACCTTGGTACAGACACACTGAACAAAAAACACATGTAAGAAAGATTAGATTTTACTTACGAAACACAGAGAGTATATAGGTTAGTTGCTTTTACTCCGTGTTTCGATGAATAATACAATTCAAAATGTATTCTTTTTTTGTTCCTAGTCTAGAGCCACTTCTTCCTGCAGTTACTGGGTTAAACAAGTATACTAACTACATATGAGCATGCATACTGCTATTAGGACAACATACACTATCGCATTAATCACACGTGTGGCACAAATAGCCTGCTGGCTACTCTCTCTATTTACGCCTGAAAATCCTGTTAACTGTGTCAGCAAAGCGAACCAGCAGAGGTCTCTGAAATGAGTTTCTGATTTTAATGCCACATGAAATAGAGAGCTTCTGGATCTAAAAGATATGGCTGGAAACTCGAGTATTATAAATATATATTATTTTATTTCTTATATCTTATTTATATTATTTAAGTTTTTATTCTTGGAAAAAACTGGATAAATTAAGAAAAATGCATCCAAATCTGGAATATTTGTCATGTAAGCTGATTACATTTTCTCATTTAAATAATATGTTTTACAGTATACATATTGTATCATAATGGTACTGAGATATTTTAGATTTTTAATATCTCAAAGGGTTTCTGGGGTAGTTTGGTAATGTTATCTTCCAGAGCTGACATTTTTTTAAAATCTGACTTATTACATGTAGTTGCTGTATAGCTATTTTATAGGGAATTGATTTAAATCCGTGGGTAGTGTTAGTTAACTTTTGAACTCACAGCAATGGACATATAATTAACACTAAACACAATACAAGCCCCCCCCCCAGCCTCTCCCGACTACCTCACCCCGTCATCTTCGTGCCCACGGAATTCCCAAGGAGACGGGGCAACACTCGACAACAGACACCGATTAGAAGAGTAAACAAACCATTAAAGGACATAGCGAACCACCTCCACCCATCACAAATGGCCTACGAACCCGATCCTTTACGCGTCACAACCATGAACTGCAGGGGCCTAAATATCCCGGAGCGCAGATCGCAACTTCTCCGAGAGCTTTCCTCTAAGCACATATCAATTGCTTTCCTACAGGAAACACATTTTAAGGAAGGACATGCTCCGCTGTTGAAAAGCAAACACTATCCCACTGCGGCTCATAGCAACCACCTGACTGCACGTAAGGCAGGCGTAGCGGTTCTCACCCATGCTCAACTACAGTTCCAGGAAGTGGAACGAATGGTTGATCCTAACGGCAGGTACCTGTTCCTTAAGGGAGACATACAGAACCGTAGGTACACTCTCGTGATGATCTATGCTCCAAACAACAACCAATCACACTTCATACGTAAATCTCTCTCCAACCTCTCTTCATTCACAGAGGGCACGTTGATCGTTGGAGGAGACCTCAATGTTCCCCTCATCCCTCTAATAGATTCGTCCACGGGACACAGTAGCATCACCCAAGGAGCCCTCCAAAGCATACAGAAATCGCTTAAGAACCTTAGGCTGGTGGACTGCTGGCGAGCAATGCACCCGGCGGACAGGGAATACACCCACTACTCAGTGATACATAAGCGATACGCGAGGATTGACTATATCTTTCTCCAACAGGAACACTTTGACGCCATCCAAAAAGCAGAAATTGGATCGGCAAGCTGGTCAGATCATTGACCTGTGACCCTACAAATGGACTCCCCCAGGGTACGCCCATCCTCTAAGACATGGCGACTCCAGGACTCCTTACTCTTGGACCCATCAGTGAAGGAAACGGTCTCCGAGGAACTCACTTCCTATTTCGCACTGAACGATACAGATGATCTCTCCGCGACCACGATATGGGAAGCGCACAAAAGTGTGCTCAGAGGTACACTGATGCGCTTGGCTTCTAAGAAGAAAAGAGAATCTCGGAGACATATGACGGATCTATTAACACACATAAATGTGCTCGAAATGCAACACAAACGTTCCCACCTCAAGGAGACATATAAAGAATTATTGGAAGCCCGAAGATCTCTACATGCCCACATGACGACTCGACACTATAGCTCCATACAGCGTTCAAAGGCCTTCTTTTACCAACACGCCAACAAAGGAGGGCGGCTGCTGGCCAGAATGATTAGAGGCCCCCAGGGCATGACCCAGGTCCATAAGCTACGGACGTCAGACGGCACGATCACACAATTCCCGGATAAAATAGCATCCGAGTTTCGCACGTTCTACGCCTCGTTATACAACATCCCGGGACCTACACTCCCGGAGGAGGTGGCAATCAGACGAGACAGAATAAGGAGTTACATCGAATCACACGTGAGGACGCAATTGCAGCAAGGGGAACCGGAGTTACTGGCTATACCGATCACGGAGGCAGAAGTGGCAGGAGCAATCAAGACCGCCAAAACGGGTCGGGCCCCAGGTCCTGATGGCTTTACCTTAGACTATTATAAAAAATTCCGAACCATACTGCTCCCAAGACTCACCAACGCGTTCAACGCTTTGATAGATGGCGCCCAGTTCAGACCCGAATCCCTAGCGGCAACTATAACGGTCCTCCCGAAACCGGGGAAGGACCCCGAACTCTGCAGCAGCTATAGACCAATATCACTGCTAAATGTAGACGTGAAGCTCCTCACCAAAATACTATCCACCAGAATCGGGAAAATACTCCCGAGATTGGTCCATCCAGACCAGACGGGGTTCATCCCTGGGAGGGAAGCTAGAGACAGCACCCTTAGAGTACAATCCATCCATCACCTGGCAAGGAGATCAACTGATAAGCTCCTACTACTGTCAACGGATGCGGAAAAAGCATTCGACCGGGTTGATTGGACATTCCTTGTAACCACACTCCGGGAAATGGGCTTCGGAGGGAACTTGATGAAATGGATTGATGCGATCTACCATTGCCCCAATGCGAAGGTGAGAGTGAACGGAGCGCTTACCGATTCCTTCCAGATCCACAATGGGACAAGAGAGGGGTGCCCACTCTCCCCCATGCTCTTCGCCCTGGCTCTCAAACCGTTCCTAGAAGCGGTGCGCACGTCGGATACAATCAAGGGCTTCAAAAGCGGTAATACAACACACAAAGTAGCGGCATACGCGGATGATCTCTTATTTTTTATCACGGATCCGGAGGCAACAATGCCCCACCTAGTCGCTATGATCACGAACTACGGGGAGGTCTCAGGATTCAAATTGAACATGAATAAATGTGAAGTACTTAACATTACCACTCCAACGGCCCAAACAATCGTACTGAAGAACCAATTTCCGTTTAGATGGTGCGCAAACCACATGCAGTATCTAGGTATCGCAATTACCAGAGACCTGGGTGACATGTACCGAACGAACTTCTTACCACTACTGCAACGAATCCAACAGGATTTGAAAACGTGGACGTACCCACACATTTCGTGGTTCGGCCGGATCGCAATTCTCAAGATGAATATCCTACCATGGCTGTTATATTTATATCAGACGATTCCGCAAGCTCTACCGATGGCATATTTCGCGTCACTACGTTCCGCGATGGTGAAGTTCGTTTGGAGTGGGAACCAGGCAAGACTCTGACAGGACGTTCTCTGCTTACCTCGAGCATGGGGAGGACTGGCACTCCCCGACCTCCGCAAATACCACCATGCGACAGTATTACAACGAGTCCTGGAGTGGCATACTCAACCGGAACATAAACAATGGATCGAATTGGACAAACAACATATAGGCCCCTCCTTTCTGACATCAGTGTGGAATACGAAGAAGATGCCACGGACGATTTTGGAACCATCCTCTACCGTAGCGCAGACACTGAAAGCATGGGATTATATCAGAAAAGCTCCTCACGTCTCTCAAACACCAAGCCCGATGACCCAGATACAATACAACCCTCAGATAGGAGGAGGGCTACCGCAGGCAGCATGGTCCTTCCTGGGAGAGGGGGAATCGTTCCCCATACATAAGGTGTTAACCAACACAGACATGACCCCCTGAGGGACCTCATGGAAGGCAACCAACCCACCAGCCTACAAACCTTCCGCTATGTACAACTCAGAACATACTACCGGACACTTCCAGACAAGGAAAAGTTACATAGGGACTTGACATGGTTCAAAACGCTCTGCGACCACAAGACTACCCTAGATAAGGCGATATCCCTATTATACCAACACATGCTCGTGGGGCACCTCACTAACAATGACCAATTCTGCAGACGCTGGGAACGCATGCTGAATACATCATTCACCACATCCCAATGGGATAAGATCCTCATATTACACCATAAATGCTCATCGAGATCCCAATATCAAGAAACTAACTATAAACTTCTTTCATTCTGGTATAGAACGCCCGACAGCCTACACAGGATCTTCCCGAATGTACCTGACACATGCTGGAGATGCGGGGACGAACGTGGTTCGCCACTACACATATGGTGGGAATGCTCACTCATTAAGCCATACTGGGACGAAGTCCTACAGAAAATAGGGGAAATCACAGGGACGGAAGGAAAGCTCAACACAGAGGCGGTTCTCCTGCACTCCACACCAGATCCCATAGGCACATATAGGAAAAACATTCGTAGACACCTAATTAACGCAGCCAAGGCACTGATTCCGCTATACTGGAAACAAACGAATATCCCGACGATAAGACAATGGATGGAGCGGGTGGAAGAAATATATAGAGCGGAATCAATACAGGCTACACTTAGAGGACTCGAGGACAAACATGTGGAGAGGTGGCGCCCATGGCTACTCTACATAGCGGACCAAAACACAGATAGGAATAGACGTCCGCAGCCCCAGGGAGCCCCACGACCCCCCACAGATGGGGACTGACGTCTGGTTCGATACATACTACGCCGTGGGCACGGGTGACGGGACCACCCTACTCTTCACACCCCCCTACCCATCCCTCCTCCATCCAGCTCCCTCCTCCTCATCCCCCCTCTCTCTTTCTCTTACTTCTTACTCAATTAACACTCATCTTCTTTCTCAACTCTCCAACAATGGTTTCTATACGAATTGAATGACAAACGTAGCCCTCCTTAATCCGAGATTGCTCACAGCTGTGTCACTCACTCACACTTACATATCAAAATGGAAACAAACACCTTCATCATGCGATCACACAACACGAATAAGGCACACTCCTGAACGGCATCTGACCTATAACGACGGACCAATAGCCCTTGCCACCCCAAAGAGAAAGATTAGAGGAACACAACAAGCAGACACAAGGTACAAACTTACGAATATCCCTCTACTCGAGCTGCAATCCGATCACCCATATGTATATTCTAACGTGTTAACCGCGATCAAATATCATACAGGTATAATATGTAACATTGTCTGAGTGATGTTCACACATTCTACGTTGGGACCTGCGAGTCCGTTATATCTTGTCTACTTGTTCAATCTATAGATACATGCTGTTGTACATTGATCAGGGCATACCCTGAAATGCCTATGTTTGAATAAAGCCTTTTTGAAACGAACACTAAACACAATAACAAAATTTAAACCTTTATGCGAGTGGTTATTTTTTCTATATTATTCATCTTTCCAGTAATTACACCCCCTACTGGCAGAGAAGAAATACATGTCTATAACCTAACTTGCAAAATCCTGTTTACTTATATCTCTTGAAACATTAAAGGGGGGATATTTTATGTGTAATATGCCCTATAAGTCCCTCCCCCTCCGTTTGCAGTGAAACCTGCAAGACAACGACCCCAGCGGACAAAGATCACAGCGCTGACTTTCACGCCCTAACCTGACATAACGGATGGTCTCTCACAGAGAACCCTGTGATTGGACAGTTTTGTCAGCGTTTGTCATTGCTGCATGCGTGCAATTTGAGTTGACGAAGGGTGGGGGGAGGGGGGAAATATTGATTTTTTTTTAAACAAAAAGACTATTCAATTAGTGGATAAAGGCAGGAGGGAGCACACACAGAAAGTTATCCCTCCCTTCAGGCGTTCTGTCTGCAAGGGAGAAGATTTGTATGTCTGTTGCCAGTGCACTATGTGTGATGATGACATATGTTACATATGCACAGAATTTGCATTAAGCATCTGAGGACAGAGTTCCAGAACTCTGGGCTACCTAAGTCACGTGTGCTAGAACTTGCAGGAGCCTCCTGTGTGTAAAAAAAAAGTTCAATTCACTGAGCACAAGCTAATTTAAGTTAATATCTAATTGAAAATTGTTAATTTTTTTTCCATACCGGCTGTTTCAGTCACAGGCAGATGAGGTGTGGCTAGTGCTGCATGGACAGAAACAAAACAGATTTAACTCCTTAATGCCAGAGAATTGAGCAGTGAGAATTAAGAGGCATGATCTAAACACCATGACTGCTTAATTAAGCTAAAGTTGTTTAGATGACTATAGTGTCCCTTTAATGACTAACCCTGAATTCACTGTCAGGGTTATTCACTAAAGTGAGAATATAAAGAGAATGCACATTTAATTTAAAATGTATGGTAAAAATGGCCAAATTGGAAAAATTCTCTAAGTCAGCTATGCATTCAGTTTGGCTACTCTGGCCTTAAATTTCCAATGAACTTTGAATTCTCACTTTAGTTAATAACCATATATGTATTCTAAATGCAGGCATGTTGCATTAGTATCTATATATTTATTAATGCTAGTATATACTATTTGTTAATCATGTAAACCCTTTACATGTGTCATGTAAATGCTACTGACAAAGGCAACAAACTGTCAATATGTTACACTGCCTTCAAAATATTTTATTTGATCATTTCCTGGTTTAGTACTATATTTTTGTGTTTTATTAATGTGGAAGACAACACACATGTCAGAAGCACAATCTGGGGGATTGGATGCTATTAAATTAATGATATAATACTCTAACATTTATCGGTTTTCATGCAGGATGGAATCCATCCTATCCAGTTACTGCAAGCTGAGAAAGAAAATATAATTGCTACTAAAATGTATAATTATACTGATTTTGACAGACAGAGGAAAACTCAGAAAATGTTATGTGAACACACAGTAATTCACTACAGTGAGAATTCAAAATCAATTTCAAATTTAAAGGACCACTCTAGGCACCCAGACCACTTCAGCTTAATGAAGTGGTCTGGGTGCCAGGTCCAGCTAGGATTAACCCATTTTTTTTATAAACATAGCAGTTTCAGAGAAACTGCTATGTTTACAAATGGGTTAATCCTTCCTCCAAAGCCTCTAGTGGCTGTCTCATTGACAGCCGCTAGAGGCGCTTGCGTGATTCTCTCTGTGAAAATCACAGTGAGAGCACGCAAGCGTCCATAGGAAAGCATTGTAAATGCTTTCCTATGCGACCGGCTGAATGCGCGCAGCTCTTGCCGCGCGTGCGCATTCAGCCGACGGGGAGGAATGGAGGAGGATCGGAGGAGGAGAGCTCCCCGCCCAGCGCTGGAGAAAGGTAAGTTTTTACCCCTTTCCTCTCCCCAGAGCCGGGCGGGAGGGGGACCCTGAGGGTGGGGGCGCCCTCAGGGCACTATAGTGCCAGGAAAACTATAGTGGTCCTTTAAGGTCAAAAAAGCCAAACTGGAAAAATTCTCTAGCTTATCTTTGTTGCCAATTTTGCTACTCTGGCCTTAAATTTGAAATTATTTTTTAATTAATTCCATTTAATTCTCACTTTAGTAACATCCTGAACATCTGTAAAAATCCAGTGCACGCCACATATCCACCTCCAGTTTGCTGGACTGCACTGCCTACGTGCCCTACATTTCAGCTGGCAAGGAATTACCAGAGTACGACAATTTCTAAAGTGCTGCTTTTGAGCCCACAAGCACCCACCTCAATTGTGCATAACGTTTTTAAAAAAGAAAAAAAAACATAAAAATGTATATATTTTGAATCCACATAGGATGATGACGATGATTGCAGCTCGGAGTGCTGTAATGTAATCACCGCCATTGAAGTGCTGATAAGGAATTGTTTCAGTCACAGAAAATTAGGTCATTTATTTGAAACAAGCCAAGTGTGCAGTCCTGCTTTCTGTGTCATTTTCTTTCCAGATGTTTGAACAGTTAGTTTCTTAAGACGTGCAATCATCTACAAAACATAGGTTTGCACAAAACTATTATTTTAACTATATTATACTAACTGACATGGGTGGTTAGTAAGAAGAGGTTTCAGCAAGGAAACTGTTTTTTCTATGCCAGTGATACTTAAAGGACACTCCACTTCCCAAATCTAAACAAAAATAAATTCACTATTTGCTAGGTATATACTGAATGAAAATGTGCATGCACTTAATTATACTTTTTTTTTATTGGGTGGGTTATATCTAAAACCAGCTTGCAAAGATGTAGATCTCTTATCTGAAGCCTTTATCAGCCTTCCCCTTTTAACCCTGCCCATACTTCCTGTGGCTGTTCAATCACAGACTTCTCAATGCAGCTCAATGAGAAGTCTTTGCAAGTCAGGTGCTAAAAAAAAATTCTGTTGGAAAAAGTGGAGGAAATATTAAACAGTCTAGACGTCATATTCCGTCTCCCGGCATCACTCTGCGACGCGCGAGGGAGCTGAGCAGAAACAGCTCACAAATCAGTGCTCCCTCGCAGGCGCCGCGTGCCTGGATTACAATTAGCCACCAAAGTGCCTGCATGCCTGCCTCCCTCCCTGCAAGAAGACCCACTGGACCCCAGGTAAAAAAATCCACCCAGCTCTTCCAAAGGTAGGGAGGATGGGTGGATTTAAACTAAAATAGAAAAAGTAATCTTTATTAATTAATGTTTGGGGGGGTTGTGTGTCTGGCTGTCAGTGTGTGTGTGTGTGAGTGATTGTGTGTGTCTGGCTGTCAGTGTGTGTGTGTGTGTGTGTGTCTGGCTGTCAGTGTGTGTATATGTCAGTGTGTGTATGTCTGTCAGTGTGTCTGTCTGAGTGATTGTGTGTGTCTGGCTGTCAGTGTGTGTATGTCAGTGTGTTTCTGAGTGATTGTGTGTGTCTTGCTGTCAGTGTCTGACTGGCAGTGTGTGTCTGAGTAATTGTGTGTGTCTGGCTGTCAGTGTGTGTGTGATTGTGTGTGTCTGGCTGTCAGTGTGTGTATGTCTGTCAGTGTGTTTCTGAGTGATTGTGTCTGTATGCAGGGGCGGGCTGGGCCGGGGGGCAGGGAGGCAATTGCCCCCCAGGCCGCCCTAAATTCCTGTAAGGCCGGCCGCGGCGGGCCGGCCCTTTAAATACTGCAGCCGCCTGAGCGCTCTGTTAAGAGCCTCAGGCGGCTGCAGCTTCTCCCCTCCCTCCCCTGTAGCGTGGCCGAGCTGCACTCCTGTTCCGCGCGGAGTTTCTGTTTCCTGTTACCGACCGGACTGACAGGAAGTGCACACTGAGTGTGCACCTTCCTATCACTCCGGCCGGCCGGCCACCGCGGACCGGAGTGCTGCTCGGCCACGCTACAGGGGAGGGGGTAAGAAGAGAGGGAGGAGGGGAGGGGGTAAGAAGAGGGGAGGGAGGGGAATAAGAAGAGGGGGGAATAAGAAGGGGGGATAAGAAGAGGGGAGGGGGGATAAAGAGGAGAGGGAATAAGAAAGGAGGGGAATAAGGAGGGAGGGGGGGTAAACAAGAAGAGGGGAGGAAATGAAGAAGAGGGAGGGGGGAGGCGAAGAGGAGGTGGCGGCAAGAAGCTGAGGGAGGGGAGCAGCCAGCTGAGGAGATAAGAAAAGAGGGGTAAGAAGAAAGAAGGGCGAGTAAGATGGGGGAGCAAGCAGCTGCAAGAAGAGGAGGGAGTAAGAAGGAAGAGGAGGAGTAAGAAAAGAGGGGGGAGTAAGAAGAAGAGGGGGAGTAAGAAGAGGGAGAGGGGGAATAAGAAAAGGAGTGGGCGGAGTAAGAGGGAGAGGGGGGAATAAGAAGTGCTGTGGGAGGGCGGAGGAAGAAGGTGAGGGAGATAAGAAAGAGGGGTAAGAAGAAGAAGAAGGGGTGAGTAAGAAAAGATGGGGAGGAAAGGAAGAAGAAGAGTGTATAAGAAGAAGAAGAGGGGGTAAGAAGAAGGGTGAGTATGAAGAAAGTCAGAGTAAGAAGAAGAAGGGGAGGAAGAGGAAGAAGAAGAAGGGGGGTAAGAAGAAAGGGGGAGCAATAAGAAGAAGGGGGGTTAAGAAGAACAGGTGGGGGAGTAAGACGACCAAGGGGGGAAGTATGAAGAACACAGGGAGGAGGGGGGTAAGACGAACACAGGGGGTGTGAGGAGAACACATAGAGGGAGGAGTGAGAAGAGCACAGGGAGGGTGGGTGAGTGTGAGAAGAGACCGCTAGGGAGGGTGGGGGAGAGGAGAGACCACTAAGGTGCAGGGGAGAGCTCTACGGGACAGAAGGGGCAGCTCTATAGGACAGGGGCCAAGACAGGGAGCTCTTTCACACTACGCGCGCACACACACACACAATGCATCCCTATACATACACAGAAACACAACATGCTTCCCTTACACACAGAGAAACACACAATGCATCCATTACACACACACACAATGCAACCCTTACACACAAAGACAATGCATCCTTTGCACACATACACAGAAACAGACAATGCAAACCCGTACACACATATGCAAACACACACACTCTTTTCTTACATACACACAGAAACACAATGCATCTCTTACACTCAATGCACACACATACAGACACACACCTTGCAACCCTTATGCATACAAACACAGATTCACACAATGCATCCCTTACACACAACCAGAAACACATAATACATCCCTTATACACAAATACACACTGCTTCCACTACACACAAACACACTGCATCACCTGCACAAACTGGTAACCCTATACACTACATACCATAAGCACACATATTAGATCCTCTACAATAACACATAACACATCCCCTACACACTCCACCCCTGTGAGCGAACTCATGGGTGGGTGGAATTATGAGTGGCCTTATGGGCATACTCACCGTCAGGCCCTGGGGCCCAGACCTTGAGCTGTGTAAGGGGCCCCAAAAAATGGAGCTGCTTCCAATTCTCCCAGAACATTGAATTTTGTGACCACAGCTGCAAACAGCCTCCAGAGATCCTGTTCTACACCAGACCAGTGGAGCCAAACTGCAGCCCATCATCATCCTCATCTGCTTGTAAGTAGGCAATCTAGTATATTATTAGTGACACTAATCTATAATGTACCTCACATTAAAGGGACACTATAGCTTAATGAAGTGGTTCTGGTGTCTATAGCTGGTCCCTGCAGGCTTTTTAATGTAAACACACACTGTGTGCAGCACTGGCGTTAGTTCATATGGGTGGGGCATTGTGATGTCACATGGGGGGGCAGCAAATTTTTATTTTGTCTAGGGCGGCAAAAATCCTTGCACCGGCTCTGATCCTGGGCAGGTGCACCAGTCTACTGGTGACCCACAGGAGGGGAGTGCACTGATTGCACTGCACTCTCCTCCTGTCCAGCCCCATCTTTACCGCAGTGCAAGTGCCCTCTGCCCCTAATTTACAGTGGCTCACACTCACAACAAGCAGTGCCTGGAGCCGTGAAGGAGCGGGTATGGCAAAGAGCTACTGATTAGCATAACATCAATATCCATTATAAAACCAGGAAAAGGTGGGCATGGATGGTGAACTGATTTGGTGGTGCAATGGGCCACTTGACTGGTTTTGCCCCCCAGGCCTAAGGCTGCCAGCCCTCCCCTGTCTGTATGTCTGTCACTGTGTGGCTGTCTGTCAGTGATTGTGTGTGTGTGTGTGTGTGTGTGTGTGTGTGTGTGGCTGTCAGTGTGTGTATGTCAGTGTCTGAGTGATTGTGTGTGTCTGGCTGTCAGTGTGTGTGTGTGTGAGTGATTGTGTGTGTCTGGTTGTCAGTGTGTGTCTGGCTGTTAGTGTGTGTCTGTGTAATTGTGTGTGTCCGGCTGTTAGTGTGTGTCTGTGTAATTGTGGGTGTCCGGCTGTCAGTGTTTGTGTGATTGTGTGTGTCTGGCTCTCAGTGTGTATCTGAGTGATTGTGTGTATGTCTGTCACTGTGTGGCTGTCTGTCAGTGAGTGAGTGAGTGTGTGTGTCTGTCAGTGAATGTGTTTGTTTCTGAGTGATTGTGTCAGTGAGAGCGCCTGTGTGTCTGAGTGATTGTGTATGTATGTCAGTGATTGTGTGTATGTCAGTTTTTGTTTTTGTCAAATCAGTGTGTGTATGTCAGTGTATCTGAGTGTGTGTCTGTCAGTCAAAGTGTGTGTTAGTCGTTTAACAGGAGGAGGTGTGGCATTGACAGGAAGGGGTGGGGCAAATATAAATTAGGGGGTGCCCAAGTTCCATCATGCCTAGGGCAGCACAGATACTAAATACCTCACTGCCATCACTGAAGCTATGCTTCTCATGGAGCGTTTAAGCATTTAATTGGAAGATAGCTTCACAAGAGGCAGAATGAGCTGCTGCTGTTTTTTTTCCATTTGGTAACCATTGGTAACAAATCTATTAGGGATTCATTGTATCTGGATTGTTTCAAGCTCAGGTAGGAGATACAAACCTTTCCACACATATGGGTAAAGATTCTTTTATTGTTCAATAGTAGATTGTGGTATACCTATTGGTTATGCCTGAGATTGGAAGATATATTACCTTCTCATAAGAAAGGTTTCTGAATTGTTAAAGAAGATTTTGTAGGTTTTGTAGATTTCCATTAAGTCTGGAGAAGCTGCAAACCACATAGGAGACAAGCTCCCTACTAGGAGAGTGGGTAAAGCACTTGAAGCCACCAATGAAGGCTGTGGCAAGTGTGTTATTGCCAAGAAAGGGGACAATCTGTGTTTTTGGACTTCCATCTTTTTTTTTACGAACTTGTTGAATAATCATGGCACAATTTGTCAACTCTATGCTGTTTAAGAATGGGTATTATGATATCTATGAGGTGCTATTTGTGGAATACACCATTTTTAACCAAAATGTTCCCCTAGCTTCAACCCTGTGTAACCGCAAAACAAAGTCTACCTATGTAAACTCTACCTAAAAAAAACATTGAAACCATGTTAACAGATAATCCCAAAACCAAAAATAGAACATGGAAATATAGTTTCTTACCCTACTCCTTCCCGAGACCCCCGTAATCTCTAACCCTAACAGGACCATTAGCATGTCCCCCTTATAAATGTCAATATACAGACTTTTAACATGTATTTATGGAACTTCATTGCAGTATTGCTATTATGTTCAATGTTATCAGTGCATTTTTAAATAAATACTGTATATAAGAAACTTTTGAAAGTAAATTACACAGTTTTCACTACATTTACCACATTTATTTAACAGGATGAAAAAAAGCAACTGATGACTACAAATGTGTGGCTGAGACAGGTAAGGATGACATACAATATCTGGATTAAAATGAATAAAATAAACTGGGTTTATAGAAGTAGACATGGCTAGGTTAGCACATTTAGCAGTACTACTCACATGAAGGCCTAAAGATGAGAGGATCCCGAGTCCAAGCTCAGGAAGGGTACTGCTAGATTCTATGACAAACTTGAAAGAGAGAACACTTGCATCTACAGAAATGCAGGTGACCCAAATTTGCAAATATCCATACAATAAGTATAACAACTAAACTTACTGTTTAAGCATGCAACTTCTGCTATGATGCTGACTACCTGACTCCTGACTGACACATCAGTTAGAAGTCCCTTTTTCCTTGTAGCAGGCTTAACAAGTGATGGCCTTGGCAACTGTTGTTTTTTTTTAAATACTTTATTTATGTGTGACTGTCTCGTTGTGCTTACAACATACAGTATACATTGCAAAAGTTGTACAGTCCTAAAAAAATCAACAATAATTGTGCAACATTCTCAGTATTGGCAATTGTTTTTAAAACAACTTGGATATAGAGGCATTTAGGAACAGAGTGTGTGTGACCTCTCAACCCCTGCTGCCAGTCAGACAATAGGTCCACTGGCTTCTCTGTGGACGCATTTGCCATGGTGTCCTACTGGATCTCCGACTGGGCCTAGGACATTTACATAAAGACCCTTGTTGGAATATATAAAATTGAAGATATCACCATGGATGCTGTTATGTTATTTAGATTAGTTTTTCTAAATACATTTTCTAAATTTTCTTGCTGCATGCACTGAAAAGAAATGCAGATAGAATGGAAAGTATAGAATCCTCAATAAGTTTATGAATATTAATACATATTTATCTATTTCACAAAAACTACAGGAATGGAAAGACTTGAAGTTGCAGTGGAATCCCAAAGATTATGGTGGAATCACTTACATTAGAGTACCTTCAGAGACTCTGTGGCTCCCTGACATTGTTCTCTTTGAAAAGTAAGTGTTTTTTTTCTACATTTGTTTTAGTACTGTTTCTCACGAATATCAAGGTAAGCTTTCAATTAATATATTTACCTGCACGTAGATCTGCTATATTTACATCTAAAACCCATTGCCTCAATATTTTGTTTGGCAATGTGGTTAAGATCAACCTGAAAAGCTTATCAAAAAATATTAGAGCAATGCCAATTTAATTTAAACATATTAAACTGCCGATTTAAAAAAATATTGCTGAAATAATGTTCATACAAACCACATTTCTGGTGTATTTTATTAAATTATATAGCTCACACACTACTATTTGCCATTTTGCTTCAGTGCAGATGGACGTTTTGAAGGTTCACTCATGACAAAAGCCATAATACGATATGATGGAACAGTCATCTGGACACCACCAGCAAGTTATAAAAGTTCTTGCACAATGGATGTCACATTTTTTCCATTTGACCGACAAAACTGCTCTATGAAATTTGGTTCATGGACATATGATGGGAATATGGTGGACCTTATCCTGATTGATACAAATGTAGACAGGAAGGACTTCTTTGATAATGGAGAGTGGGACATTTTAAATGCTACAGGTTTAAAGGGAATGAGGACAGATGGGATCTATTCATATCCATTCATCACCTATTCTTTTGTTTTGAGGCGTCTTCCTTTATTTTATACTCTTTTCTTAATAATTCCTTGCCTTGGTCTCTCATTCCTGACCGTTCTTGTGTTTTACTTGCCATCTGATGAAGGAGAAAAACTGTCATTGTCCACCTCAGTACTAGTTTCTCTTACGGTTTTCCTACTTGTCATTGAAGAGATAATTCCCTCCTCATCTAAGGTAATCCCACTGATTGGAGAGTACCTACTTTTTATCATGATATTTGTCACCTTATCTATAATTGTGACAGTCTTTGTCATTAATGTTCACCATCGTTCCTCAGCAACATACCATCCTATGGCTCCTTGGGTGAAAGGTCTCTTTTTGCAAAAACTTCCCAAACTGTTGTGCATGAAAGGTCACATTGACCGATTCTCCTTCCTGGACTCAGAAAGCAATGTTCCACCAGGAAAATCAAAGCCTTCTGGCAAAAGAAAACATATCCAGGCAAATGATGGAGAAAAGGTTTTGATCGCCTTCCTGGAAAGGGCTGCTGACTCTATTAAGTATATTTCAACGCATGTAAAAAAGGAGCATTTTATTAGACAAGTGAGTATGAATATTGGTTGCTTTTTTCTAATCTTAATTATTATTCTTAATTAATGTACTATTATTATTGTATTATTTTTATTAGGACTTATATAGTGCCAACATATTCCGCCACACTTTCACAAAGCAATCAGGTAAACTATGAAACTGTAAGTTTAATAATGAAGAAACAGGGAGGGGGGAGATGCAAGGACTTATAGAAATAAAGATGGAGAGGAAGGGAGTCATAAAGAAGCTTTTATTGCATTTCATAATCCTAATTAGAAGCTAATGTAAACAATAGGGCAATTGGTCTGGAAATAGGAAGAGAAAACAAGTCACTCGAAATAAGGAAACTAAGAGAGACCTTTTTACTGATTAACTATTGGCTTAATATTTAGGGGAAATCAGTCAGGGTTATTCGCTAACGTAAGAATTGTCGGGAATTCAAAGTGAATTTAAAAGTCAAAGTAAAATTAGCTTAACCTGAAACACAGCTGACTTGGAGTATTGTTCCACTTTTGCTACTTTGGCCTTAAATATGAAATAAACCTTAACTTACCTTAAGTTAAAAAAAATTTACCTTATTTCCAGCGCCTGCAGGTGCGCAGGCAGTGGCCCACCCCCGATCAGCCTCTTTCCCTGACATTATCAGAATGAATGATCTCCTGTGGGAAAGCACTGTGATTGGTTGTGGGCGTCAATCCCGTTGATTTCAGCTAAGAGGAATGGTGGGGGAGCCAAACACTGCCGTAGCCAATCAGCATCTCCTCATAAACATGCAATAAATCAAAGCATCTCTATGGGGAACATTCAGCTTCTCCATGAAGACTGTTGATACGCTAAATGGAAGTGCTGCACACTGTGTAGCATTGACCAAGGAAGCACCTCTAGTGGGCCTCTGAGGAGTGGCCACTGGAGGTGTCCATAGGGAGAAATGTAAACAATGCTTTTTCTCTGAAAAGACAGTGCTTACATTAAAAAGCATGCAAGGACTGACTATACTCACCAGAACAACTACATTAAGCTGTAGTTGTTCTGTTGACTACAGTGTCCCTTTAAGTTCCTGGAAATTCTCACTTTACTTTAGTAAATAACACTGCATATGCGAATTCAGGACAAAATCCTAATCACCCACCAATAATAAGGAGATAAATTCCAATAAAACTGTTTGAATTATATATGTTATTTATGCTTTCATATACTGGAATAAAAGACCAATATGAATATACATGAAGGCGTGAGAATTTTACATAACACAAATAACTGCATTTACTTACTTTGGAATACTGAGGAGCAGTTGACATTGTGTTATGCTAATGACAGAATATTTCTCCTTGTCATATGTCTGTCCTTAATGGTATCGTTGTAAATTAGACAGAGCATGGTAGGTGAAAAGTAGGTTTTCAAACAATAGAATAAGGTCTGTCTCAAATTCAGAATACCCTGAAGAATAGATCTTACTATAATTAGAATATGCTGTCTTGAGGTGTGAATATGTTCTATAGATGGAGCATTAACAAACTGAACTATTGCAATATGTGAAAAGGAATAAAGGAATTTATTTGTTTAGGGCTTTATGCATTATAAATCAATCAATGATAATAAATCAAGCAGTGTTTGAAATTAAAGGGACCATCTGAGCACCAATACAACTTTAGCTGAATGAATAGGGTTGCCATCAGAAATCTTGGGCTCCTTACACTGGTGTAGGTCTGGCCCCCTTGAGTCCACCAACAGGGCCCACCCTAAGTCCGCCAACAAGGAAGCAGTGTGTGTGTAGAGTAGATGTAGTATATTTATAGTTGATGTAGTGTGTGTATAGTGGATGCAGTTTGTATGCAGTGGATGTAGTCTGTGTGTATGTGTTTATTGGATGCAGTGTGTGCATATGGGATGCAGCATTGAGTGTAGTGGATGCAGTGTGTATATCGTGAATGCAGTGCGTGTGTAGCGGATGCAGTTTTTGTGTAGTTGATGGAGTGTGTGCATAGTGGATGAAGTGTGTGTGTAGTGTATGCAGAGGTTGTGTGTATAATGTATGCAGTGTGTGTGTAGTGGATGCCGTGTGTGTTTAAATGTGTGGGGTTGGATAGAGGCTGCATTCTGTGGGCAAATGTGGGGACCCACGATAACGTTTTGACGGACATGGACATGCGAGAGTTTGAGCAACCGGAAGCTGGAGATCAGGTGTGCTGGGCCCCCTCTTCACTATACATGCAGACAGTTGCTCAGTGGCTCACAGGGGCACATATTTATATGGTGGCGTGTAGGATCAGATTCTCACTGAATATTTAGAGCCTCAAATGCCCCTGGGCAGGCATTGAGTACTGAAGTTGTCAGAGACTTTGTTTGGTGGATTACAAGAACAGATGGAAACTTTGTCTTCCAGAGTGGTCCGGGCCCACCAGGACCGATGGACCTGTGACAACCCTGAGGAGTTAAATCACTTTTCTTCTGCCTTCATGCAGCCCTAGCCACATTTTCCCTGGCACTGACTGACACAGCCAACATAAAAAAAAGGTTTATTTTTAGGAAGTGTGTAGGGAGGCTGTGTGAGTCTCAGCCAAGCGAGGTATGGCCAGGGCTTTATAAGCAAAGTGATTTAACTCCTAAATGAGAATCTAGTGGTGATATTGCACGGGAATGATCTATACACCAAAACCACTTCATTATACTAAAGTTGTTTTGGTGCTTAGCATCTCTTTAATTGTGTCATTGTTTCTTACATATACAATATGATATATTTGATATTTCTTTTTGCTTAGGTTGTGCAGGATTGGAAATTTGTAGCACAAGTACTCGATCGCATATTTCTCTGGCTGTTCCTCACCGTGTCCATCACAGGATCCGTGCTGATCTTTACTCCCGCATTAAGGATGTGGCTAAACAGCAGCAATGTCTGAATCCATATTATCACACTGGGTGCACAGGAGAAAATTGATTGGACATTTAACATTCCTCTGGACATGAGGTTTAAATGGTTGACAGCCACAAAGTTTTATTTATAATAATTAAATTCACATATTTTACAGATTCGTGATTATAAAAATTTACATTGCTAAAAATAGAAATTAGAGCACAGTGGAATTATTTTGTATTCCAATGATTTAAATAAAATATTATCAGATTACCATCTAGTAAATTTTTGCTGCTTTTCCAAGTCAACCACTGGAATGTCAAAGAAATAACCCACAAGTAACACCCTCTCTGCTTATATCTAAAGGCTTATCAAACTGGTAAACTTAAAGAGACACTCCACTGCCCAAATATAAAATAAATAAAAATCAATGTTTTGTAGATTTGAATGCATTTAAATATACATTTTGTCATTGCGGGTATATTGAAAAACAGCTTGTAAAAACTACAGCAGTCTTGTCTGCAGCATTTGTTTCCCAGTATTTATGTCATTGTCCAATCACAGACTTTGTAATGCACTCAATGTGAAGTCTTTGCAAGGCAGGTGCTCTGAGCAATCGTTCAGCTGAACTGAGCTAAACAACCATCAAGTTAAAGAACCACTTATCTGATTGACAGCCATTGTTGGTGTAACAAGGTTTATTAATAAAAGTACCAATTTCTATTGAAATTGATACTGTTTGTAAAAATGAAAAATCTGAGTTAATTTCGTCATCTAATGAATATACCCTTCTGCTCAATTACAACACTGTCTGTGTGTAACAGACTGATAAATATCCCATTGCTCTCCTGCACATGGCATCCTTCCAGTTTTGCCTCATGTCAATTGAAATGAAGTCAGAAAGCTCTCAAATACAATTTGGTTATGGGACAAATCTCCCCAGCCTGGCCGCATGGCAATTCAGTGTCCCAAAGTGTCACAGTTCCTTGCTTGTAGAGAAATCAAAGCTTCACCAAGCCAATACAAAAGTAAGGTATATATAAGCCTCAGATAACAGATCTGAGCATCTGCAAATAAAACTACTGTTTGAATTTACAACCTGTAAAACAATTCAGAACAAGAAAAATTATTGTGGTTGACGTACTCAGGACCGCCATCAGTGGGGTACAACCAAGACAGCTGTATGGGGCCCTGTATCACTATATATGGTCAGTGGTGTATCCTGGTTTTGTGCTGCCCTAGGCAGGACAAAACTCAGGCGCCCCCCCTCCCCCCCCCACCCAACCCTTCCCCCCGCCCCACCTTCTAAATACACACACACACAGTCAGACACATACACACACACACACACAGTCAGACACATACACACACACACACACAGTCAGACACATACACACATACACACACACACACAGTCAGACACATACACACACACACAGTCAGACACATACACAGACACAAACAGTCAGACACACACACACATACACACACAGTCAGACACAAACACACACAAACACACACAGACACACACAGACACACACACACACACACACACACACACACACACACACACACACACACACACACACACACACACACACACACACACACACACACACACACACACAGACACACACACACACACATACACAGTCAGACACAAACACACACACACAGTCAGACACACACAGTCAGACACACACAGTCAGACACAAACACACACAGACACACAGTCACATACACACACACAGTCAGACACAAACACACACACACACACAGTCAGACACAGACACAAACACAGTCAGACACAAACACACACACACAGTCAGACACAGTCAGACACATACACAGACACAAACACACACTCACAAACACACACAGTCAGACACAAACACACACAGTCAGACACAAACACACACACACATTAACTTTTTTTTTAATTTAAATCCCCCCCCAACCTCCTTACCTTTGGGAGTGCTGGGGGGGGTGGGGGTCTCTCTCCCTGGTGGTCCAGTGGCTGCAGGGCGGGCGGCGCTGGCAGGCGGGCGGCCGGCGAGGGAGCACTTCCCATGAGCTGACTGCTCAGCTCCCTCGCGCGTCGGCTGCAGAGTGAGGCTGGGAACCGGAAGATGACGTCTGAGCTGAGCAGACAGCTCAGAGGAAGTGCTCCCTCGCCGGCCGCGGGATGTCAGTTAGCCGCAAGGCTAACAAGGCATCTGCCCTGGGCATTTGGGGGGCGGCGTTTTTTGCCGCCCCCTGAAAAATGCCGCCCAAGGCAAATGCCTTGTTTGCCTCGCGGCTAATACGTCCCTGTATATGGTACCATTTTACATGTAGAAATATAGTGTTTACAAAAGTCATGAAAGCATTTTTCCTTGTGAGATAAGCTGGTGAATCATACCCATTAACCAAACTACTCAAGGATTCTTCAAGGCGGGATGTTTGAAACAAATCCTCCCTTAGATTCGTTTTTGGGAATACAGCTGTAGTTTCCATTATTTTCATGTAAAACCTTGTGAGCGCAACTTTGCCTTAAAATAAATTATCCAGTTCAGTACTAACAAAAAGAATTATCATGAAAAATAAACATTTGCAGAAATCCATTGCCAGGGGTTCTCTTCATGCATTATGATTAGCAAGAGCCCACGGTGAACACGAAGACCAGAATTTGGACAATTATCACCAGTAGATAAATAGAATAGATGGAATCAATCAATATATCGTCAGAATGAGCAAATACAAAATGACTTGAAATACATTGTGTTTTGGTAGAATTCAGAGTGCCTGTAAATTTGATGGTGGTCACTTGGCAGATTAAATAAATATGGTCCTTATGTATTCACTGTTGATATCCGGTTGCTATTGGCACTGCTAACCAGATCATAGAGTAGAGTGGAGGGAACATGTACTAATACCCCAATGGCTAGTTTACCTTGTACAGCTTCTAAAGTCACATAAAAAGGGTTGAAATTTAGTTACGTCCAGAAATATTTGGACACTGACACAAGTTTTGTTACTTCGGCTGTTTACCAAAATATATTCAAGTTACAGTCTGAGGGTATTCACATCCAAAATGGAGGAAGGGTGTAGGAACTACAGCTCTATAATGTGCTGCCCCCACTTTTTCAAGGGACCAAAAGTAATTGGAAAATTGACTCAAAAGCTGTTTCATGGACAGGTGTGGGCTATTCCTCCGTTTCTTCATCAATTAAGTAAAAGGTCTGGGTTGACTCCAGGTGTGGCATTCGCATTTGGAAGTTGTTGCTCTGAACCCACAACATGTGGTGAAAGGAACTCTCAATGCAAATTAAACAGGCCATCCCTAGGCTGCAAAAATGAAAAAAACATCAATCAGAGAGATAGCAGGAACATTAGGAGTGGCCATATCAACAGTTTGGTACATTCCGAGAAAAAACGCACTGGTGAGCTTTGCAACACAAAAGGCCTGGACGACTATGGAAAACAACAGTGGTGGATGATCGTAGAACCCTTTCCATGGTAAAAGAAAAACCCTTCACAACATGCAGTCTGTTGAATAACACTGCCCAAGAAAGTAGTCATTGTGACAGACCGCATGGTACCCGGCTGGGTACCTCCGCCAAGCACCCATAGTGCTGCAGCCCCCAGTCATTGCAGCTTCACTGGAGTTTCCCACACTGGAACAGGGCCCTGTGCTACAGCTCCCAACTGATCAAGCTCTCTTACAGAATGCATAGCTTTATAGCTGTCTCTGTATAGCCGAGACTTAGTGAAGGGTTAAGTAGAACTCATTTTATTGAGTGAAACATGGGTTTATATGGGAGTAATGGGCATGCATGGCTTGCAATGGAACTGGGTCACTAGTGTTTATTGATGATGTGACAGAAGACTGCATGAAAGTGTCTAAATAGTTCCAGACCTAACTGTATATTTATTGAAAACATTCAGCACCTCATTGGCTAAATAAACAGCCGGATGAATTCTTAAGTGTATAGGGATATATTGTCTGCTCAGATTCAGCCACATTCAGTGGAGTTGATTGGACAGCGCTTGACTTTACAGATGGACAATAACTTAAAACATACTGCGAAAGCAACCCAGGAGGTTTGGTTTTTTTTTGTGAGTTTTCATTTGTATCATTCTTTATTTTTGTTGTGCTCTGTGGATAACAAAGGTAAGACAGTATACATGAGACAAGTTGAAATGTATTAGACATATCAGAGCAGAATAGGTGTATACAAGTTTCAGTAAACAAGCTAGGTAACTCAATTAAACTCAGTATTGTTAAGTGTTAAAGAAAAAACAAACAGGGTAAGTATTAATTAAAAAAAACATTTAATTGTTAGGCTGCTGAAATATCACCACAGGGCCACAAAAGTCATTCCAGTTCAGATGGATTATCAATAAGCATTCTCCAGTTTATTGCAGCGTACATCATATATATATATATATATAAATTGGCATTAGTCTACTGCGCATGTGTGAAATGAAAAACAAGCAACAATTACTTTCTACTGCGCATGTATACGTGAAAACAAGCCTCAATTATTTGAAAAGTCTTATCTAGAATACCAAGGTTAACTAAAGTAAAATTTCAGGTGAAAAAGAAGAAACAGCTGCAGAAGATGCTGACAAACATAAGTTAAAAATTTAGTTTTTAACCCCTGCAGACGTGGAAGGAACTAACTAGGGCAAAGGTTTTAGCCATTTATTTACTTTTATCTATGACAATTTCCCTCTTCTAGTGCCACAGGTGAGAATTCTACACAAGGTATTTGCAGGTATACTAGTTATACATGTGGGACTTTAAAGGGACTCTCCAGTGCCATTCCCTTGCCATCTCACACCAAAGGACCCATCAAGGAAGACTTGTCCAGATATATGTGTTATTAAATCTACGTCTCATTATGCAATACATCCATAGGTTAATATATGTATCTGTATGTCTAAGGGAATATTCACTAAGTATGGCTTAGGTAAAACAATTAATTTTCCATCAATCATCTCACCTGGGCAGGAGAAACATATGAGCTAAGGCATAGGCTGCAGAATTTAGTCTAGGTCAAAGTTTATGGGTAGGTACCTGCCTATTAGACTGTGCGATATGCTAGTGACGGTACATGGGGAAAAAAAAAAAACAATATTTTACCATGCAATGACACAATAATGGTAAAACAGGAAAACAAATACCACTGGAGCATCAGGAAGCTTAGAGCCTTGATCCTGTATAGTACTGACAATATCACTGTGCATGTGCATGATAACAGCATAAAAGTAGCTGCTCATGAGAGCCTCTCTCCTGGGTGCAGGGCTGGGATGGGAAGTTAAACTCCAAAAGACTCTAGGCCCAGGTAAGTCAATGCAGGAGCTAGGCATAAGTGTCACTCGATGGGACAAGGCAGATAGCCCCTTCTTTCATGCCAATGCAGGTTGGCACCATGATGGGACAGCTTGGGCCAGTGTGGAGAGCAGGAGTCAAAGTCAGCCCTTTCCTTGAAGTCCTTTCATAAGCAAAGTGACAAAGTCATTACAGTAGTAGCCGTTAAGGCGGTCATCTTAGATTTCAAACTTCGGTGTGCTCCCAACAGGCCCTTCCGTTGACAGCTTTGGAGACATCCAGTGGGAACCAGGATAACCGCCACCGGTCCATGGGGGGGGAGGGAACGGGACCAGGAAGATGGTATTCAAGGAGCAGCTGCACAGAATTCAGGCTTGAGAATGGAGCAATTTGGCTTAGGAACTCCAGAGCACCAGTTTGGGGGAATATCAGTAGCCCCAATAGTTCCTTGTGTTGCCCTCCATACATTTCCCAGGTTTGGGTAAGTGTGTACAGAAATTATTGTTGAATAAGCTCTGTGGCTTGCAGGAGCTGTGCTGACATGCGGCCAGCTAGCATTGCGGTTCGGTCTCGCCCCCTAACCAAGGAGTTTAAGGTAAAAAAGTTAAATATTCAGCAATGGCCGAGTCAATCACCTGATCTCAACCTGATCAGGCATGCATTTCACTTGCTGAAGACAAAACATAAGGCAGAAAGACCCACGAGCAAACAACAACTGAAGACCGCTGCAGTAAAGGCCTAGCAAAACAAAACAAAGGAGCAAACCCAGTGTTTGATGATGTCCATGCGTTTCAGACTTCAAGTAGTCATTGCCTGCAAAGGATTCTAGTCAACGTATTAATTTATTTATTTTAATTTGTCCAATTACAGTTGAAACCCTGATATAAGGGACTGTGTATGAAAATAATTGCAATTCCTAAACTTTCATACTTTTGTTAAACCCCTTGAATTAAAGCTGAAAGTCTACAATTCAATTGCATCTTAGTTGTTTAATTTCAAATATTATGAAAATTGTGTCAGTTTCTAAATATTTCCGCACGTAACTGTATATCTTTTGGAAAACATTCAGCAACTCATTGCCCGAATAAGCAGACCTAAGAATCTAAGAATTTGCACTACTGTGTAGTAAGGTAAAACATTGTTTAAAGGATTCTTGAAAAGGGCAAGGTATCAATCAAATCCCTTATTAAAAAAGACACCCGACTGGATGAAAATGGCAACAGCGCATACAGCATGAAGTTGGGTCGCGACATGACACTATGCACCTCTCATTTCTTGTTGATGCCACTTTGATGAAAGACCTAGTGTCTCTACGTTTCAAAGACAGTAGCCATATGTAAAGCTTTATGTCTCTTGTTTATGCTTTGTGCTTTTTATATTTTTTAAATCAGACTAATAATATACATTATATAACATATGTTGGCTTGTCTTTACTAACAAACTTAGAGTAGTAGTAGGACACTGAAAATACATTTAAATAGATCAGAAATGCAATACACTAAAAAAC